TAGGTATTAAAAGCAATTCTACTTTTATTAGGGTCACGATCCATACCTTGTTCTAAAAAGAACAGATTTCACTCAATTAAATTGAAGACGCAAAAGGGTTTAAACAAAATTTACAACAATGACACGAAACTGTCGAATTATCAATAACCTAACCTTCAAATTCAAAATCAAAATTCAAAATTGCCTGTGTGTGAACCTTCCTCGCATTCAACCAATCACGTGCAAGGTCAATCTGGTGACAAATTTAAAATACTCCTCCTGGTTTAAAAACAGAGTATAGATTAAAATATTAGGTTCCTTTTGGATGGGGAAAGAAATGAATTTTTAAGAAAAACAAAATACTGTCGTAAAAAGAATGCTTTTAAGATCTCAATAATAAAAAAAAAATTTAGGCATTCCATTAAAAAAAAAAAAGTTGACAGTCGCCATTTTGAAATAATTCGTCCAATTGAAAATATGATATCACCATCGTGTAGAGAGTGTCCTAAAACATATTACTGCCAAATATTTTGAAAGTAGTACCCATAGTGTGGCTAAAAAAAATAAGGCGCTTACTCTGAATCAGGCTGTATATACAGGGTGTACAAAAAGTATGGAATAATGGTTCTACAGCCTAAACTTCAAGTTATATCAAAGAAAGTTTCAAATAAAAGTTACTTGACACTATTTTCCGCATATCTTGGCGTAGAAATAAAATGAAAATGATGACGGCAGTCTGAGTTACTAATGGTGGGTGTGTTTTTTAAATGGAACAAGGTGTTGCAAAATGCCATAAGGTTTTAATGCTTTAAACTGCATAGTTTTCGAGATATTGAAACTTTTATTTAAAAAGGTTTGACGTAGCGACAACCAAATTATGGCGTCATTATGGAATAGACAACCTAAGCCTTGACGTCACAGGGATGGGCGGAGCTTATACCGACTCCAAATATCTTCGTTGCTAACGGTAAATCACCATATGCGATTTTTCATTAGTGTTAAAATAAAATAAACTATGTAATGACATTTCAAATGACATTTTTTGGCGATTTATCGTTAGCAACTGTGGTTAGCAACGAAATTGCTTGGAGTCCGTATAAGCTTCGCCCATCTCTGTGATGTCAGACTTAGACAGTCTATTGAAAAATTGCATGTGGGGATTTTGCGTTAGCAACACAGTTAGCAACGAAATTGTTTGGAGTCAGTATAAGCTCCGACCATCTCTGTGACGTCAGACTTAGGCAATCTATTGAAAAACTGCATATGGGGATTTTTCGTTAGCAACACAGTTAGCAACGAAGATGTTTGGAGTCGGTATAAGCTCCGCCCATCCCTGTGACGTCAAGGCTTAGGTTGTCTATTCCATAATAACGTTATAATTTGGTTGTCGCTACGTCAAATCTTTTTAAATAAAAGTTTCGATATCTCGAAAACTATGCAGTTGAAAGTATTAAAATCTTATAGCATTTTGCAACACCTTGTCAAAAGAAATCCAAAAACATTAAAAAATACAGGGTGTTTCATTTAAAAAACACACCATGCCGTAACTCAGACTGCCGTCAAGATTTTTATTTTTACGCCAAGATATGCGGAAAGTAGTTTCAAGTAACTTTTATTTAAAACTTTTTTTAATATAAGTTGAAGTTTAGGCTGTAAAACCATTACTCCATACTTTTTGTACATCCTGTATACAGAGTGTCAAATAAAAAATGGCCCAAGCTGTAACTCTGTTATTTACATTCCGATTTTCATGAGCGGTGTATCAAATGAAATGGTTTGATTCAACTATGATTCATGCTACAAATAATTTTTTTCCACGGCCATCTTCAATTTAAAGCGATTATTAGCTTTTGTTTTTCAAATTGCTCCATATATTTTTCTTCAAGTCATTGGATAGAGATTGTTTTCTTGATTCCATTGATGTGTAATACATCCATTTTGAATGTAATATTAACAGGGAAAAGACACCTGTATATACAGGTTGTCATACAAGAATGCCGCAAGCTGTAATTCTGTCATTTACATTCCGATTTTCATGGGCGAGGTACCAAATGAAAAGGTTTGATGAATACTATAATTCATGCTACAAATAAACTTTTTCCAACGCCACCTTCAATTTCAAGCGATTATCGATTTTTGATTTTCAAATTGCTCGGTATGTTTTTCTTTACATTATTGGATAGATTTTTTTTCTGAACCCATTGCTGTACAATACATTAACATTGATTGTAATTTTATAAGAGAATAACAATTAAAACATTTTCCGAACATTGTCTCTATCACTTCTGTAATATTGTAGTGTGGAAAATGGAAAAAAATAACGTGCAAAACTGATAACAGTCATTAAATGATACTTCAATGCCTGAAGCAGTTGTAAATGATTATTTTTTCCCATGGCGCACTATAGTATAACACAAGTGACTTTAAGGAAAACTATTTTAATGTTTTTCTATGCTACAATTACAATTAATGTTGATGTATGGTACATTAATGGATTCAGAAAAGAAATTTCTATCCCATGAAACCCATGAAATAAATATTCATGGGATCCCATGAAACAATCTCTATCGAATGACGTAAAGAAAAATATACAGAGCAATTTGAAAAACAAAAGTTAAAATCGCCTGAAACTGAAGATGGCCTTGGAAAAAATTTATTTGTAGCATGAATCATAGTATTCATCAAACCATTCCATTTGATACCTCGCTCATGAAAATCGGTATGTAAATGACAGGGTTACATGGGGCGTTTTTTATCTGACACCCTGTATATATATTCTGGGTTAAGTCGAAGAGCAGTTGGTTAATAACCAAACTGAACTTCGCCCAGAAAATAAGTCTATTTTCTAAGAATGTATTATTATTTTTTTTCTTTTTTGCGACTTATTAATAAAGGCATTTATTATTATTATTAATAGTACAAACTAACGAATATTTCAATCAAGAGTAACTCAGAATCATATGCAAGACTCTAATATTAGACCTAATATAGACTAAGTTCATAACAGACTTGCATGAATTTAGTTCATAACTATAAGTATAGGAAAATGGTGTCAAAAAACAATAACTCCTGAAGTACAACTACCTCAATAGCTTTATGATTCTGGCATATCAAAAAAAGATGTAAAAGTTTAGTCTAGAAATATCCTTGTAAAATGCGCTTTTACTATAGCTAGAGTAATGAAACAAAGAAAATAATTTAATTACCTTGCTTGTTCACACTGAGATAGATGAGCTGCTGCTCCATTTCGACCGGATTGGGATGAAAATTTGTTGTTATTTCGATTTCTATAACTTGTGCATTATTTGTTATTCATATTCTCAGGAATGTCTGTGTTCAACATCCAAACACAAACGGAAGGAATGAGGGAAATCTTCAGGAAAGTTGATTGATGTAACTGAAACAAGTGTTACGAAGGATGAAAATAAAAATAAATTTTAATTATCAAAACAAAACTAAAATTCTATTAAATATTTATTAACTTCTAACTATCTATACAGTCATATTACAAATAGTTACGTTTAAAAATTTTTCAGTGATAAACATGTGAACTAGAGAAAACAGTCTTTGTATATTAAATTTTAATCCCTTTGCTACACAAACTAGTCGACATTTTCTTCTAGCAGTTTTGTATCGAGGCATCAAAATTCAACAACCAAACTTCAAAAACATTTTCCTCATATTTTTTTTTAAACCAAAATTGTATCGAAACATTTTAAAAACTACTGTAAGGATCACTAACAATATTAAACGCTAAAGTGCGTGTGTTCGAATTCAAACTTTTTTTTGTAGTGGAAATCGCGGCGCTACCGATAAATATGACGTCACAACATCCTCCTATACACAATCTTAAATACCGTTGCATATAATATATTAATGTTAAATTAACAGAAGACTGCCTTTAATAATTAAAAAATATACAAATAAAGGCAAGACGCTATCGAAACTACATTTTTCTACTGGGGTTTATTGAAGTAGTTCGACGCATTTGGGTACCGTTCTGGTGTGAAATCCTCGTTGTTTTGCAAAGTAGACTGCACACTTGTACGCAATAATTCGCGATACGCTGATTGAATGTTTATATCTGCAGCTGCGGCTTGAGACACTACATCTATTGGAGCTACTGATTCTAAAGATGATGATGTTACAGCTCTTCTTACACTTTCTACACATATTAAAAAAAATTATTCAACTCAATTCTTTCTTAACTCTTTTTATGGTGATTTAATGATTTTACCTTGAATAACCTGAGGAAGACTTCCTTGTGGTTTAGCTGACGTTACAATTTTGCGTCGTTTACTTGGCATACCAGAAAGGTATGCATCGCTAAATGCGGGTTGAGGGTTTTGTCTGCGTTGTCTTTGTGTATCACGTACAATTATAGGTACCCATTCCTTAAGAAAAAAATGATTTGATTATTAAAAAAATAAGAAATGTTTATTAAAATTACCGCTGGAACTTGATCATGCCAAGCTTCAGATCCAATATCAACTGGTGGTAAAGGTTCTCCATCTTCTTGAAGATTAATAGCGTTTGTTGCCAAATCAGTTGATGAACCACTTGCTTCATGTACATCTAAATCCATAGCCTAAAATGATTAATAATGATTAATTAATATTGACGGTAGTCTTAAAAAATTACCTCTTCCACTGAGTTAATATTATTTCCAAGACCCGTTGTAGGTAGAGAGTCAATTTGCCTAACGATGTATGGTTGAAGTACACTTTCTGGGATATCAAGGTTAGCTATACTTCTTCGTAACTTATCTCGTATCCACATCTCTAAATCACGAGACATTCCATGCATATGTCTCCTCTGCAACATGCCACAAAATCAGAATAATTAAAATAATATTGAGAAAATTAAAAATTTACCACCATATTTTGTAGGACATCTTCAACTCCCGGGATACCGTTGGCGCTTGCATAAACGATCAGAGCGAAAAATTGTCTTATCGTAATTTTACATTGTTCAACTAAAAGGCGTAATGAATTCGGATTACGCGATGCTGCCAAAGAAATTATATTTGGCAATCGGTTTCTGAACAACATCGTTGTCGAACGTACAATATCTATGTTATTTCTTACTTGCAAGTTACCCTAAAACATTGAAATAAGAATTAGAAAAAGCTAATAATTTTATATACTCTTTACTATGAGAAATGCGTATAACTCATCGATTTCTATACAGATATTCAAGGTTCGTTGAGTTAACATACTGTACAAGATTATCCTATGAACGTATCTCCTGCAAAGGCCTTGCTGTGACGTCATTGGCAGAATTGTCATTTCTATGTTTTTATTTATACAGTGAATAGACAACCTAAGCCTTGACGTCACAGAGATGGGCGGAGCTTATACTGACTCCAAACATTTTCGTTGCTAATTGTGTTGCTAACGGTAAATCACCATATGCAATTTTCCATTAGTGTTAAAATAAAATAAACTAAGTGATGACATTTCAAATGACATTTTTTGGCGATTTATCTTAGCAACGAAATTGTTTGGAGTCATTATAACCTCCGCCCATCTCTGTGACGTCAAAGCTTAGGTTGTCTATTCTATTTCCATAGAAACCAGGGCGTACCTATTTACTTTGTACCACACAACATGTCAATATAATTTGACATTACAGTAAAACCTCGATATAACGGAACAATACGAGGAACGCAGTGTCCGTTATAGCTCAATAAAAATATACAATGATTTAGCGTTGAATAACAAATAAAACTAGACTAACACTAGCACTAGAACTAGAAACATTGCGTTTAGCAGTACCTCTCTTTAAGACGGCTGGTACGTGATAGGTTGCGCTAGTTAACTCTGAAATTCGTCTTCTAGTCTTCAGACGCACAGCTAAACCCGAATCTTTTTAGTTCTAGGGTTAGTTCTAGTTTTAATTGTTATGCAGAGAAAGACCAAGAACTAGAATCGTTGGAGTTTAGCCGTCTTAAGAGACATATGGCTAAACCCAAATGATTCTAGTTCTAGGTCTAATGTTAGTTCTAGTAACAGTGCAAGTATAAAACTAGAACTGACACTATACCTAGAACAAGAATTATTCGGGTTTAGCCGTCTTTAGAGACGTGTGACTAAACCCAAATGATTCTAGTTGTAGGTATAGTGTTAGTTCTACATAATAACAATGCTAGTGTAAAACTAGAACAAATAGTAGACCTAGAACTAGAATTATTCGAGTTTAGCCGTCTTTAGAGACGTGAGGATAAACCCAAATGATTCTAGTTCGACTATAGTCAAAGATTAAAGAGTAAACAAGATGCGACGCTAAAGTGAGAAACTCTAGAATTTAAATGTCCTGACAATAACAAACCTAACCTACAAATGTGACAACTACAAGATGAGATGTTAGAATGAGATACTCTACTTTTTTAAAAAGATAGAAGACATTCCAATTTAATGTCCTGACAATAACAAACCATTCCAATTTAAAGGTCCATAGCGTTCAAGGTCATAAGAAATGGCAGCCAACATCAAAGGTGCCGACACGAAGCGTCGCATCTTGTTTACTCTTTAATCTTTGGTATAGTGTTAGTTCTACATAATAACAATGCTAGTGTAAAACTAGAACAAACAGTAGACCTAGAACTAGAATTATTCGGGTTTAGCCGTCTTTAGAGACGTGCGGATAAACTTAAATGATTCTAGTTTGAGTTATAGTTAAAGATTAAAGAGTAAACAAGATGCGACGCTAAAGTGAGAAACTCTAGTTTTGAAAAGAGATAGAAGACATTCCAATTTAAATGTCCTTACAATAACAAACCTACCCTACAAATGTGACAGTTGGTATATTCCAACCTTTGATTATATATAATATGGATTGAGCTAACTGAATATATCTACTAACAAAAATGTTGCTCAAGGTGAATAGACGCAGATGGAAAGCGATAATGTGAAAGTGTAACAAAGATAGATATATTATATGTCAGTACGCTTCTATGTCTATCTCGGTTCGATCACCTTGCGCAAGCTATCTCTCTCGTTGGGTCAATCCATATTATATATAATCAAAGATTCCAACCTATACAAGATGAGATGTTAGAATGAGAAACTCTACTTTTTAAAACAGATAGAAGACATTCCAATTTAATGTCCTGACAATAACAAACCATTCCAATTTAAAGGTCCATAGCGTTCAAGGTCATAAGAAATGGCAGCCAACATCAAAGGTTTAAGTTTTAGATTTGATTTTATCTCATGACAAATTGTAACGTGTTAACTATAAGATTTTGTTTCGATAGTTTCTTGGTGAGGTTTTGTTGTTTGAATGTTTACTTTCAACAGGTGTGTTGTTCTGTGATGATTTACATTTTTTTAAGGACTTGACGTTTTGACTGATGATGAAGTAATACTTTGAAACCGGTTTCAATAAATATTTAAACAGCAAGTACAAGAAGTATTTTAATTATTTCTAATTAATCACCATCTTAAATTTTAAAACATCAAAGGTGCCGACACGAAGTGTCGCATCTTGTTTACTCTTTAATCTAGGGTATAGTGTTAATTCTATATAATAACAGTGCTGGTGTAAAACTAGAAGTAACACTAGACCTAGAACCAGAAACATTGGGGTTTAGCTGTGCGTCTCTTAAGACGGAAACTCAGTTATCATAAGGACCTCACTTTTTCCAAGCAAAACTACCGTCTGTATTATTAAGCTATGTTGCATTTTATGTGGGGCAAGTGCATAGTAGTTTCATAACTATGGTTACTACATTCATATATTGCGAGTTATATGAAATTCTTGGTATATACAGAGTGATTCAAAAAACCGCTAACAGACTTCTAGGGCAGGTAATACATTAAAAATTAAGATGAATAGTCTTAATATAGATGGGCTCGCAAATGCCACCTTAACGAGATATTGGGCGTCAAAGAAGAATAAGGAGATCCTGAACTTGGCGGGTAGAAGAAACGTGTGTCGAATCACAAGGTGGACAATTTCTACAACTACTCTGATTTTTTACATTATTTCCAATTATAACCATTACGTTTTCACAAAATAAATTTATTGTTTACGTTATTTCATTCTGACAAAATTAGTTGAAATGTAAATTACTCAAAAACTGTTGCCTTATTCAAAGTTTTGTAAGAGATCAATTGCCCATCTCACAAAATTAGCAGTGGCATAGAAAATATTTTAAAAAAAACAGGCATATTACCGACCCGCTATATCTCGTTAAGGAGGCATTTGCGAGCCCATGTGTATTAAGACTATTCATCTTAATTTTTCATGTATTACCTGCTCTAGAAGTCTGTCAGCGGTTTTTTGAATCATCCTGTATAAACCAACATAACTCATTATTTCTTGAGTTTAGTAACACTTATTTAGTGTTTAATTAATTATTAATACAAATGTTATTATTATATTTATATTATAATATTATTTTTCCTCCAATGACGTCACGTTTCCTACCTCACCCCATCAACATCAATTTGTTCAAGCTGGATAACATATTATATGCATAAATTGACATGTGACGATTTTTCGGCAACACACACATACGCTACGTATGATTGGATGCCTATCTTTTCAATAAAAAAAACAAGTACAGAATTTAGGAATGAGTTAATCGCGTTTCACGTAAAAAGACTATAAAAAATTTACCAAGTCATTTATAAATGGTTGCATTTCATTAACCAATCTATTAACGGCACGATCAATAGAAGCTGTATTTGCAGTTCCATCCATAACACGATTTAAGAAAAAGCGGCGAATGTTACCGCGAATTCTCATCAAAGGTTCTAAATGGTTCACATTTAATTGTATCATATCCCTATAAATAATAAAACCACATTAAGTCATAATCTAATTAATTTTCAATTACATACCCAACAGTTAGATTTCTTGAAAATAAAACAATCAGATCGCTAAACAAACTTTCGCCCTCAACATACGTCTCGTCAAAATCAGGTTGTAATTGTTGTAAAATCTGCGAAATTGTCGGCCCTTGGCGTTGTGTTGCCGCTCTAACATCAGATAAATTCTACAAGAAATTAATTAGAAAAAAATTAATTAACTAAATCCATATTCATACATTAACCATATTTTGTAATTGTGGAGTAAACGGAACCGCAAATAAAGGTGGAACACCTTCTGGAAGTCCTTGCCCTTGTTGACCATTTCCTCCATTTGCATTATTCGCAGCGGCAGATTGTTGCGGGGCGGATTGTTGTGATGTTTGTGGGGGTCTATGTTGTTGTCTATAAGCGGTTCTAAACGAATTCACGATACCCTGTACGATATTGTAAATAGGACTGAGTTGATTTGGATTCAATTGTGGCAATCCTTGAATTCCGGGCCCCATTTGTGGCCCCCCTTCCGCCCTGGTATTATTATTTTGATTACCACCCATTGCAACAACATTCCTCGCTTGCATTCGTGGTCTTCGCGTAGGAACATGATGCGAATTACACGGTAAGAAAGGATCAAATCCCCCTTGAAGGGCGTGTTGAGCTAAATGAACGTGAGGACGAGCCGTTGATCGTGTGTGAGTAGCCGTGGTTGGATTGGTTTGAGTATTCCCTCGTGCTTGAGAATTTTGTCCGGTTTGTGGCGGTTGGGCGTTTACTGAAGAAGTAGTAGCATTTTGATTGTTTGATGTTTGAGTTGACGATTCAGGTGTGGTGGTGGTTGCTGGTGATGCAGAAGAAGAAGGCGGGGTTGTTGTTGAAGCTGTTGTTGGTGGGGCGCTATTATTATTGGTTGGTTGATTGTTTGATCGGTTTATTAATTGTCCGGCCATTTGCATTATTGATTGAAGAAATTCTGGTGGTGATGTATTTAAAGCACCTCTAAACACTAAAATATCAAATTAAAAATAAATTGCAAAAATAATTAAACAAAACTTACTATCTCCAGCTTGATTAGATCTTAATAAAGTAGTTTCCAATGAATCAATTGTGATACTCTCAGGGGTCACCTCCATATAAAAATCGAAATTAGGATTATTAAATTGAGATCCCGGCATAGAAGCCCCATTTTGTTGCCCTGAAGCGGTTGATGTACTACTTGTTCCGGTTGTGGTCGCGTTAGTATTGCTATTTGAGGTTGCTGCTGCTGTGGATGGAGTTCCGTTTGACCCTCCAGGAACAGCTGGAGTCGCAGGCGCCTGAGCGGGGTTTGTAGGAACAGGTTGGAATCCGCGGATATCCCTAATTTCAAATGGAAACGATTGGACGCGGAGTGATCCGGGAAGGAAAGGAAATTCCATCATTCTTGGTTCAATATGTAAAGGAGCACCACCCATGTTGTGTTCAGGTAATTGACCAGAATTTGTTGGTGGACTTGTAGAACTAGGGGTTGCCGTTGTATTTGTGGACACTGACGTGTTACTAGTTGAGTTTTGAACATTCCCTGAATTATTTGGTGGGGGTACGTCTTGGGAAATATTAATTTGTGCCTAAGATATAAATTCAATATTAAAAAAACTTGAAAATAAATAAGAAAGTACCTCTACTTGTATGGGAAAACCAGTTTGAACAACAGCCGAATGTTGAATAAGTATCGGCCGACACAAAAGCGGACGAGGTGGGGGAGTGCGCACCCTGACGATGATATCACTGAGCGAATGATAAGCGTGTCCCAAAAAGTGAAGGACCTCCGAAACCCGATTGATCGTGACTTGTGTTTTTCTAACGTCCTGTAATAATAATCGACATGAGGAATGACTTTAATAATCGATCAGCCTTTTTCTGGGAGGACAAATGTAAGATGTATAAACCGAACGGCTTACAAAACCACATCTGACACAACAGAATCGAGCCGAAAAATTCTCACTTCAGTTGCGATAGTTGGATCGTTCCTCATAAAGTTTTGATACTGCTCAAGAAACGGAGCTAAACGTAATTGAAGTCTCGATAAAGTTTCCAATAAATCAGCCATTTCCGTAGTTCGAGAAGCATTTCTAAAAAAAAAATCAATAAATGTTTATATCAACATCTTAAAACATGATTTTATTACTCTGCTAATCCATTTCCTGAATTAGTAGTTGAAGATCCCGCTCCTCTTTCCGATGCACCTTGATCTCCTGAAGTGCGAGGAACAGCTCCACTACTACCTTCCCCGCTTCCTTCAATATTTGCGGCTTCAGCAACTTCCGCGGCAAGATTTTCTGTTGATGTTGAGATGGGAGAGGCCCCATCAGGTGTGGATGATGCAGAGTGCATTGGTGGAGTATCAATATCAATGCTATTTTGTGAAGTGGAATCGGTTCCTTCATTTCTAGCAAATCCAGAGCCTTGATTTGTAACATTTCTGTTGAGATAAAATCAATATTATTTTAATATTGATTATGAATTTTATTTTGTTTTATTCAAACAAAATTGATAAAAACATAAGCTAGTAATTTTGCACTGATTACGTTGGTAATAAATAACCTTAGATGAAAAATAACTCATTAAATGGTTTTTCCACCAGGAATTTCATAATCTGTTTTATTTTATTTATATTTTTCAGAAGCGCGGTTTTTTCTGATATAGTATTAGTTTTCCGATCCAGGTTCATCGTGAAATATAGCAATAATAAGAAACTTCGGGTTGAGAATGATGAATATTACTTATTATTACTTACATTGGCTTCATTATTCACAGCAGAGTGATCTGTTTTAATCCAAACACTAAGAAGTACTGTATTGAAACGGGAGAAGACCAGAGATAATATAAAATTCTTACATACTGCAATAAAAAAAGATCTAACACCCAAGTCATTTATAATAAAGGTTCCTAAACCCTTCCTACAACAGAAAGATCAATTCGAGAAGAGGTTAATAAAGAAAAAACTTCGTGGCCATTATAAAAAACGTACATTCTTTGGTTCAATATTAAAATTTCTTCTTCGAATTTTTTAAGAGCATCTACAATATTTGGAGTATGAAGAATTGTATGAAAGATTTAAAGAGGAAGCTGTTTATAAAACAAGGAAGAATAAAGAAACTAAGAAAAAGAAACTGGAAACACTAGGAAAAATGAAAAAAGGTAATGAAAAGTTTAAAAACTCTTGGTATAATAACAATAACAACTTTCAAAATTCTAATAATGTGAATATTACAGAAAGTGTACCGTTTGGTGAAATCAATAATTGTAATCTTACTAAGAATAACGTTACTTGTAAAAATACTTTCATATTAGGAAAATGGATAAATTTAACCATAATTTAAAAGTGAGAATAAATGTAAGAGATCTTGATTAAATTATATTTGCTCCTAAATTTACTAATATGAGTGGTGTTCGGTTCAATGATATAGAGACTAACATCCTAACTCTAACCATAAACTAAATTTACTATTCAATATAAGACCCACAGACATAGCTATAAAAATGGAAGCCCACTCTTTATATTATAAAGAACATAAATTTATTTTATCTACGACTGCTTGGATAAGTCATTACCGCACTCATTTGAGGTGATTTGAGTTACGTAATGAAGTTCATTACCGCACTGGTTTCATTACGTAACGCATTTTTAGCCTAATCAGAACAGACTTAATTTATTAACGAAACGAGCAACAATAAAAAAGAAAAAGTGCTATCTACTTACAGAGAAACAATAGTATTTATTATAAACATTAATTGTTATGTTTTTACATTTCGAAACACTTATTCCAGATGAGTAAACATGTTGTTGAAACTGACAATTCAAAATTCGAACCTTTACACGACTCGGTCTACGACCTCGTCGTGCAAGTCTTCACACTCGTACCGTAATTATGTTTCTAGCCCACTTGTAATATAAATAACTATTACAAAACCCCTCCTCCTTTGGATAATATACAGATAAAGCGTTTGAAAGATAAAATTAAACAACAAAACCTCACAATCACGTTGGGTGATAAAAATGCTGGTGGTTTGGTCGTTCTTGATGAAATTACATATACAGAGCGTTCAACAATGATTGTAAGGTGTTCGAATTTGGCGCGCTTGACTTTTAGTAACATTTAAGAAACAACGTATTTAAATAAGTATTTTTAACAACATATTTTTTAACGCTGGTGTTTTCGACGTATTTTTAACAATCAGTGGCGTGGTATGCTTTAATTGCTTTCGAGTTAACAAGTTTCAACAATGTTATAACAAAATGTGAATAAATATCAATTGATTTCATATTGATGTTTTATAATTATGATTGATAAGTTTTAAACATAAATCTCTTAACCTCATAAATTATTTAATGCCTTCGGAATTTTTTCTATGATACGCCTATGCTTATTAGTTTTCTCATACCAGCCTTAAAAATGAAACGCAAAAGCGGGAAATTCAAACACTTAACAATCATTAATAAAACAATGGAATTTTTCAAAACCAATATTTTTAAAATCAAATCTAATTCCACCATGAAATATATTAACGTGTTGAGAAATTTTATCAAAAATAATTCAGAACTACTAAAGCCATTCAATATTTACAACACCTCAGTTATAAACCCATTAATCCCTACAATGAAGAGTTTAATTAAGTTACACAAAACAGAAAAAAGCATTAGACCCATCATTGGTAACAACAATATCCCAACATTCAGAGTCGCTAAAATTCTTCAAAAGTACCCTCTTACAATTTTAAAAGACAAAAGACACTTAATACGAAAGTATTCAAGCTTTTTCCGACCTTCTCAAGTCGGTTTGTAATCAGAATTTCTTTCTTTTTAACAATCTATCTTCTCAAATGAAGGGCGGGCTCCCGAGAGGTTCTCCCATATTCGGTATTTTGGCTGACATTTACATTAACCATTATGAAACTAAAATTTTCACTGATAAGCACAATTTGTTCAATAAAGACATTAAGTTCTACTGTACATACGTTGATGACATCCTGATTGTTTACGAAGATAACAGAGCAAAATTTCACGTACTTAGTAACCTAAATAATAATTTATGCGTCTTGAACTTCACCACCGAACTCGAATCCCAATTAAAACTTAATTTCTTGGATTTAGAAATAAGAAAAAACAACCTAACTAACAAACTCGAGTTTAACATCTTTAGGAATCCTACATGTACTGACTCCATCATTCTTAAGTTCTCATACAGTAGTACTCAACCCAAGTTTGATTCATTTAGATTTCTTTTAGAATATAATAGATTAATAAATCTCACATTAAACATTAATGATTACATAATAGAAGTAAAGAAAATTCTAAAAATTGGCTTTAACAATGGTTATAATATGAGCGAAATGGAAAATATCTATTTTAATATCTATAACAGACAAGATTCAATTACACTCATTACAAAAGTCAACATTGTTTCATTACTTTACCTTTTCACCTCTCTCTAATGGAATTGAAAAGAAACTTAAACAAAATAAACATCAACTTAGCCTTCATATCTAATAGCAAATTAGGTCAGTTGTTAGTTAACCCCAACCACAAATTGACAATCTTGAATAAAGTGGACTCTATAAAATCACCTGTAAGAATTGTACTAAATTGTATATAGGACAAATATGGCGTAATTTAAAAACCAGAGCCAAAGAACATTTATCTAACAATTCATGTATAGTTCATTTTTTTCTATAATACTTGTCAAATTGTTGTAAAGTTGGCAAAATTAACAGGGAGTTTTGTTTTATCATGTTTTGAAATAGATATGTCACACTGACGTTTGAGCTTTCATTATTCAAAAAGAAAAGGTTCATAAAAAATGTTGTGGGGTGTTTATTTGCCATTTATTTACCTAGAAAAGATGTTTTGTTCTATTTAATTACTTTGTAGCAAGTTTTTACAATAAATACGTACTTCGCTAAATTCGTATTTATCTAAAAATTTATTAGTAGGTATTTTAACTATTTAGTTACTGAAAATGTTACTAAAAATGAGGAAAACTAGTTAAATTTTATAAGGGTCCTAGATTATTCCAACAGAAACCCTCAAAAATTTACATTGACAAGTATTATAGAAAAAAAACGAACTATACTTTTTGTAAACATTTAAAAACTGAAAACTACAAAGTTAAGGTCAATCGACTAGAAAGACCGTCTTTAAAAAAATCGATAATCTAAATTAAATTAGACGGATTAGTAATGTTTTCACGTTCCTAAAATTGTTTAATTTCTGCAATAATTAATGTAAAAGTTTAAAATTCCCCACTCCCGACTCCAGATAATGTTTTAAGTAAGAAGAAAGAAATCACAGACGTTACGTTCTCTCCCGTTTTCTTCTAGCGTATAAGATTCGTAGCATTGTCTCTCTCCAGGAATTTTATTGATTTTGACGTACTTTGGAGTTCGCGCCCTGTACTTTCAAACTTTATTATTTTCTTTTGGAAAAACTAAGTCTCACAATCAAAAATTAAAAAATATAGGGTCAATCAATTTTAAAAAACTTTCGAATAAGCCAATAAAAAAAAATACTTAAAATCCCTATTCTAACATAAATAATATTTATATAATAAAAAGAATAAACAAATCTATGGAACTAGACCTTATTGAAGAGTTTCAGATTTTGAAGCATAAAAGACACAAAGATGGCCTGATTCTTAACAGACATTACAGACTTTAACAATAACAGATATTTTATGAGATTTATGACTTCAGATATATAACCAGTTTTATTAGTTTTCTCTCGAACTGGTTGTCATGACATTGAGTTGTGAGTGCTTCTAACCTTTTATTGAGTTTTACTTTTGAATTTAACAACATAACAATTTAATACATTCCAGTTTTGAAGGTTTTTTTTAAAGTTTTGTTTGAACAATGTTGTATATTTTTTAAATAGAATAGTTTTTGATTTTATATAATATTTTTTGAAGAAACAAGTAAGTTCACGCCATTTTGTTCTTGTTTCATTTTGGTTATATTCTTTATCCTTAACTATTGTTACTTAATTTAATTTATATATTTCTTACAGTTTTTGATAACCCCCCCAATCCCACTTAGAAAACCTGATTTTTTTCCACTTAGTGTGGATTTGATTTGAGAAGAATGATGATATTATCGACCTCCCAAATAAGTCACTTTCATGCACTGTCTTTAGTAAATTCTTGACAGTAATTATATTTTAATGTTTTTTTATGTGTTCTATTAATAAAATGTTTTTCCGTTTTTTTCGTTCAATGCAGTCCTGCCTGATGAGATAAATTATCTCAAAACATATGTAGCATCAATACCAAAAATAAATAAATAATTTTCATCATAATTTCATTGTCATTAACTACACTTAGTTAAAGTTATTGTAGGTATCCAAAACACAAATAGTAGATAATAAATAATAAACTTCATAATTAAAAAGTCTTAATTACATTTTAAAATCCATGATAGATTTCATAATATCCAACAAAAACATCCACCCTTAAAAAGTAACAGATGTGAGTAGAAAATTAAGAAAAGAAAGATACCCTCAATAGCACAATATAGCTCTAACAACAAAAATTAGCACAAAAAATGTAAAAAGCAATGAAAATGACATAGACAAAGCATACAATTAAGTATAATAAGAGTGGCTGAATAAGAAAAGGGAATGAGAAAGATTGCTAAAATGAAAGATTGAACATAAAACCCTCTCACTATAAAAAAAAACTTACACTGGTCTAGTAAATGCAAAAGAACTCTCAACAGCTGCCATAATATCATCCATTGGATTGGTTGGAACAATAACGCGAGCTTCTAAAACAGGAGTTACTTCCTCTTGGGGTTCCTCAGAAGGTGGTTGCTCATTACCTCGTAATTGAGGATTTTCAAGTAAATTTAACACCGCTTCAGCACGTCGAAACATCCTATAAGAATATTATTAACATTTTAAAAATTAAAAAGAAAATTAATTCCACCTTTTAGCAACATTTAATCTACTCGCAGCCAAGCTATGAGTAGGTGGAGGTGGAACAATTCCTTGTGATTCCATAAGATTTGTAGGAAACGCCATAGATCCAACGTACATCCCATGTTCAAGACCACGAACATTTCTACGTTGTGGTTGTGGTGATGCAGTTCGTGTCGGGCCTTGACCGCTTGTTGGAGGGGCTCTTTGCACGAGATGAACCACTTTTCCATTAACATCTATTAAGATTTAGAAAAAGATAAAAAGATTTATAAAGAATTAAAATTAAAAATTTTTTTTTATTACCATATTCGCTTAATTTAATTTCATCCTTTAAAACTCTACCACAATAAATAATACGCTGTGTATCAGCTGGAATGTTAATTTTTTCAGCAATTTTCTCCTTGAACTGGGCCACAGTAATCTAAAAAATTGACGCAAAATCAATAATATAACCTCCATCAAAACCACATTTAAACTCACATCATCCTCAACAGAAAACGAATGATTCTGAGAATCCAAAGTCTTCACAGTTAGCTCAATCATCTAAAAGTAAATAAAAATTGTAATGAAAAATCGTTAAAAAACATCTAGAACGTTCCACCTAACCCCATTTATGAGTAACAACCGTATAGGATCACTTAATTGTTTCAAAATTGGAGGCGACTAATTCGGTATACTTACGTTTTTATGATGCAGCAGATTTTATTATTCACTAAACACATTCAATAATTCGTCTACGAAACTAAGAAATCGTCCTTAATTGCCCAGAGAGCAAGGTAAATAATGTGTCGGGAACGATTCGAAGCAAATCACACCTAAGCAACTCAAAATGGCCTACAGTTGTCAAAACTCAGGACTACCAAAACACTAAAATTAAAATTTTATTCATAATTCCGACGAAGATAACGTAAAATATTTAATAATCAATTCAATTTTATATATTATGATGAATAATTTAAGTGGGATTAATCAAATTACGTAATTAAATAATTTAAAAAATATCCATAATTGGAATTTAAAAATGAATTTTTTTACTGTCAAATATTTCAGTGGCGTCAGAGTGAGAAAGTTAAAACAAAAATGTCACCAAAACCTAAATTGATTGTGTTTGATTTAGGTACAAAAATTTAATTCGATGTGGATAAATTAGATTGTAAAGAGGGGTATTTATTGTTTTAGATTATACCTTATGGCCATTTTGGGTTGACACACATGTTACACCACCATTTCACAAAGGGTATGAATGTTTTGTTACGTTTTAACGTATTCAGTATTACCAACCGAAACGAAAAGGCACATGGCTTTTTTAAATTATTGGTAACACTGAGCTTAGTTAATTTAAATTTAAACTTTTATTTCTGTTATAGAAATGGTAAAATTTTCGATAAATACAATAATAAGATAAAATGTTATCCTGAAGTACCGAATATACTTCAAAAATTACATAAAGAGGGGTACCAAATAGGAGTTGCTTCTCGAACCGGTGAAATTGATGGTGCTCAACAACTCATTTCGTTGTTTGATTGGAAAGATTATTTTGGATATAAAGAGATATATCCGGGAAGTAAAGTAACTCATTTTAGGAGAATCAAATCAAAATCGGGGTTATCTTATGATGATATGATCTTTTTTGATGATGAGTATAGGAATATTGATGATTTAACTAAAGAGGGTGTGTTATCAATTTTTGTGAGAGATGGAGTTTCTTGGAAGGTTATTAATGAAGGATTAGAAGAGTATGCTAAGAAATATAATAAGGAGAATTAATTAATTATGTCGTTATGATTTAATAAAGTTATTATTTCAATTATTGTAATAAAACGTTCTTTAATTTATATTTTACAACATTTATGATCTGCCAGTTGCTCAATTTATTTCGTTTGTAGAAATAACACTAGAACTAGAATCATTTGGGTTTAGCCATACGTCTCTTAGGACGGCTAAACCCGAAATGATTCTAGTTCTTGATCTAGCGCTGCATAACAAAACTAGAACTAACATTCTAGTTCTAGGTCTAGTGTTAGTTCTAGTTTTACACTAGCACTGTTATTATGTAGAACTAACACTATACCTACCTAGAACTAGAATCATTTGGGTTTAGCCGCACGTCTTTAAAGACGGCTAAACCCGAATGATTTTACTTCTAGGTATAGTGTTGTTCTAATTTTACACTTGCACTGTTATTATGTAGAACTAACACTATACCTAGAACTAGAATCATTTGGGTTTAGCCGCACGTCTCTATAGACGGCTAAACCCGAATGATTCTAGTTCGTGATCTAGCGCTGCATAACAATTAAAACTATTCCCAAAACTCTCGGGACGGAGCTATAAGTTTTGAACGAGTGAAGAAAAATATTTGAAAATTTGGGGATCACTAAAAAGTCATAAAAATTACATGCTTAGATAGTTTAGAACTTCCGTGCAATGTGGAGTTTTTTTAGGGGATGACCCCTATCGAGTATTACCTTATTTTAAAGGTAATGGAAAAAGAAACACAACCCCATAAACCAAAACCCGATACCTTAATTCTTTCAAGAATTATGAGGGGTTGATTACCAAATGGGAAAATAAAATGTATTCGTGCTTTTTTGCACTATTATTACGATTTTTATAACAAATGTTCCAATTGTCGATCTTCTTTGGTCTCGCAGTGACCCAAACGCTCATAAACCATCAGGAGCTATCTCTAGTGATCTTGGTGGTTTCTTCAAATATAAGATTTTCCAAATTATTTATTGATTCTGGTTTTGTTGCATAAACTTTACTTTTCAGAAACCCCCAACAGAAAAAATCCAGTGGTGTTAGATCAGGAGATCGTGGTGGCCACTCAATTTCACCTGTTTTATCAATTCAACGGTTTGGAAACGTGCTGCTTAAAAAGTCTCGGACTGTGCGACTAAAATGTAAACTACCACCCTCTTGTTGGAGCCACTTCTTGTCAATATCATTAGGGCATACGGCACGTACACTTGGAACCACTTGATTTTCTATTAGTTGCAGATATCTGTCACCGTCCAAATTTTCAATAATAAAAAATGGATCAATTACATTCTCTCCCATACATTACTTTTCTGTGATTTCTGAGTATGATCTCCTTTTATTAAACGTGATTAGAGTTAGTGATTGGAGTGACGAAAATCCGTCACTCCAATCACTAAGGAACCACCACTATCACTAGGGATATGCTCCAGATGGTTCAAAATTCCATTTATGAGCGTTTGGGTCATTGCGAGACCGAAGAAGGTCGACAATTTGAACATTCGTTATAAACATCGTAATAATCGTGCAAAAAAAGATGAAAACATTTTATTTTCCCATTTGGTAGTCAACCCCTCATAATTCTTGAAAGAATTAAGATATCGGGTTTTGGTTTATGGGGTTGTGTTTCTCTTTTAATTACCTTTAAAATAAGGTAAAACTCGACAGGGGTTGCTATTTAAAAATGTAGGGGTGGTCATCCCCTAAAAAAACTCCACATTGCATGGAAGTCCTAAACTATCTAAGAATGTAGTTTTTATGACTCTTTATTGATCCCTAAATTTTCAAATTTTTTTCGTCACTCGTTCAAAACTTATAGCTCCGTCTCGGGAGTTTTGGGAAACTCTATATTATATCCAGGAAGTACATAAAGTAACTCATTTTAGGAGAATCAAATCAAAATCGGGTTTATCTTATGATGATATGATCGTTTTCGATAATGAGTAGGTATAGGAATATTGATGACTTAAAGGGTACAATTTGCAACAACTTTTGTTGTAAAAGTTTTTCTGTATCATGCTCCGTATACCGATTTCTTTTATACTCATCCAATTTTCATATTTTCGAAAAATTCTCAACATCGATGCATCTGGGAGCAAATGTGCTATAAAACATTGTGTTAAGGGTACAATTTGCTACAACTTTTGTTGTAAAAGTTTTTCTGCATCATGCTCCGTATACCGATTTTTTTTATACTCTTCTAATTTTCATATTTTCGAAAAATTCTCTACATTGATGCATCTGCGAGCAAAAGTGCTATAGAGCATTGTGTTAAGGGTACAATTTGCTACAACTTTTGTTGTAAAAGTTTTTCTACATCATGCTTCGGACACCGATTTTTTTTATACTCTTCCAATTTTCATATTTTCGAAAAATTCTCAACACCGATGCATCTGGGAGCAAAAGTGCTATAGAACATTGTGTTAAGGGTACAATTTGCTACAACTTTTGTTGTAAAAAATTTTCTGTATCATGCTCCGTATACCGATTTTTTTTAACACTTCTAATTTTCATATTTTCAAAAAATTCTCTATATTGATGCATCTGCGAGCAAAAGTGCTATAAAGCATTGTGTTAAGGGTACAATTTGCTGCAACTTTGGTCGTAAAAGTTTTTCTGTATCATAATGCGTATACCGATCTTTTTAATATTCTTCTACTTTCCATATTTTCGAAAAATTCTCTAGATTGATGCATCTGCGAGCAAAAGTGCTATAGAGCATTGTGTTAAGGGTACAATTTGCTACAACTTTGGTCGTAAAAGTTTTTCTGTATAATACTGCGTATACCGATCTTTTTAATACTCTTCTAATTTCCATATTTTCGAAAATTTCTCTAGATTGATGCATCTGGGAGCAAAAGTGCTATAGAGCATTGTGTTAAGGGTACAATTTGCTACAACTTTGGTCGTAAAAGTTTTTCTGTATCATGCTGCGTATACCGATTTTTTTTATACTCTTCTAATTTTCATATTTTCGAAAAATTCTCTACATTGATGCATCTGCGAGCAAAAGTGCTATAGAGCATTGTGTTAAGGGTACAATTTGCTACAACTTTTGTTGTAAAAGTTTTTCTGCATCATGCTCCGTATACCGATTTTTTTTATACTCTTCTAATTTTCATATTTTCGAAAAATTCTCTACATTGATGCATCTGCAAGCAAAAGTGCTATAGAGCATTGTGTTAAGGGTACAATTTGCAACAACTTTTGTTGTAAAAGTTTTTCTGTATCATGCTCCGTATACCGATTGTTTTTATACTCTTCTAATTTACATATTTTCAAAATATTCTCTACATTGATGCATCTGCGAGCAAAAGTGCTATAAAGCATTGTGTTAAGGGTACAATTTGCTACATCTTTTGTTGTAAAAGTTTTTCTGTCTCATACTCCGGATACCGATTTTTTTAACAGTTCTAATTTTCATATTTTTGAAAAATTCTCTACATTGATGCAACTGGGAGCAAAAGTGCTATGGAACATTGTGTTAAGGGTACAATTTGCTACAACTTTTGTTGTAAAAGTTTTTCTGTATCGTGCTCCGTATACCGACTTTTTTATACTCATCCAATTTTCATATTTTCGAAAAATTCTCAACATCGATGCATCTGGGAGCAAAAGTGCTATAGAACATTGTGTTAAGGGTACAATTTGCTACAACTTTTGTTGTAAAAGTTTTTCTGTATCATGCTCCGTATACCGATTTTTTTTATACTCTTCTAATTTTCATATTTTCGAAAAATTCTCTACATTGATGCATCTGCGAGCAAAAGTGCTATAGAGCATTGTGTTAAGGGTACAATTTGCTACAACTTTGGTCGTAAAAGTTTTTCTGTATCATGCTGCGTATACCGATTTTTTTTATACTCTTCTAATTTTCATATTTTCGAAAAATTCTCTACATTGATGCATCTGCGAGCAAAAGTGCTATAGAGCATTGTGTTAAGGGTACAATTTGCTACAACTTTTGTTGTAAAAAATTTTCTGTGTCATGTTCCGGATACCGATTTTTTTTAACACTTCTAATTTTCATATTTTTGAAAAATTCTCTACATTGCTGCAACTGGGAGCAAAAGTGCTATAGAGCATTGTTTACGGGTACAATTTTGTTGTAAAATTTTTCTGTATCATGCTCCGTATACCGATTTTTTTTATACTCTTCTAATTTTCATATTTTCGAAAAATTCTCTAGATAGATGCATCTGCGAGCAAAAGTGCTATAGAACATTGTGTTAAGGGTACAATTTGCTACAACTTTTGTTGTAAAAGCTTTTCTGTATCATGCTCCGGATACCGATTTTTTTTATACTCATCCAATTTTCATATTTTCGAAAAATTCTAAACATCGATGCATCTGAGAGCAAAAGTGCTATAGAACATTGTGTTAAGGGTACAATTTGCTACAACTTTTGTTGTAAAAGTTTTTCTGTATCATGCTTCGGACACCGATTTTTTTTATACTCTTCCAATTTTCATATTTTCGAAAAATTCTCAACACCGATGCATCTCGGAGCAAGAGTGCTATAGAACATTGTGTTAAGGGTACAATTTGCTACAACTTTTGTTGTAAAAGTTTTTCTGTACTCTGCTTCCGATACCGTTTTTTTTCAACACTCTTCTATTTTCCACATTTTTGAAAAATTCTCGATATTGATGCATCTGGGAGCAAAAATGTTACAGACCATTGCGTTAAGGGTACAATTTGCTACAACTTTTGTAGTAAAAGTTTTTCTGTACTCTGCTTCCGATACCGTTTTTTTTCAACACTCTTCTATTTTCCACATTTTTGAAAAATTCTCGATATTGATGCATCTGGGAGCAAAAATGTTACAGACCATTGCGTTAAGGGTACAATTTGCTACAACTTTTGTAGTAAAAGTTTTTCTGTACTCTGCTTCCGATACCGTTTTTTTTCAACACTCTTCTATTTTCCACATTTTTGAAAAATTCTCGATATTGATGCATCTGGGAGCAAAAATGTTACAGACCATTGCGTTAAGGGTACAATTTGCTACAACTTTTGTAGTAAAAGTTTTTCTGTACTCTGCTTCCGATACCGTTTTTTTTCAACACTCTTCTATTTTCCACATTTTTGAAAAATTCTCGATATTGATGCATCTGGGAGCAAAAATGTTACAGACCATTGCGTTAAGGGTACAATTTGCTACAACTTTTGTAGTAAAAGTTTTTCTGTACTCTGCTTCCGATACCGTTTTTTTTCAACACTCTTCTATTTTCCACATTTTTGAAAAATTCTCGATATTGATGCATCTGGGAGCAAAAATGTTACAGACCATTGCGTTAAGGGTACAATTTGCTACAACTTTTGTAGTAAAAGTTTTTCTGTACTCTGCTTCCGATACCGTTTTTTTTCAACACTCTTCTATTTTCCACATTTTTGAAAAATTCTCGATATTGATGCATCTGGGAGCAAAAATGTTACAGACCATTGCGTTAAGGGTACAATTTGCTACAACTTTTGTAGTAAAAGTTTTTCTGTACTCTGCTTCCGATACCGTTTTTTTTCAACACTCTTCTATTTTCCACATTTTTGAAAAATTCTCGATATTGATGCATCTGGGAGCAAAAATGTTACAGACCATTGCGTTAAGGGTACAATTTGCTACAACTTTTGTAGTAAAAGTTTTTCTGTACTCTGCTTCCGATACCGTTTTTTTTCAACACTCTTCTATTTTCCACATTTTTGAAAAATTCTCGATATTGATGCATCTGGGAGCAAAAATGTTACAGACCATTGCGTTAAGGGTACAATTTGCTACAACTTTTGTAGTAAAAGTTTTTCTGTACTCTGCTTCCGATACCGTTTTTTTTCAACACTCTTCTATTTTCCACATTTTTGAAAAATTCTCGATATTGATGCATCTGGGAGCAAAAATGTTACAGACCATTGCGTTAAGGGTACAATTTGCTACAACTTTTGTAGTAAAAGTTTTTCTGTACTCTGCTTCCGATACCGTTTTTTTTCAACACTCTTCTATTTTCCACATTTTTGAAAAATTCTCGATATTGATGCATCTGGGAGCAAAAATGTTACAGACCATTGCGTTAAGGGTACAATTTGCTACAACTTTTGTAGTAAAAGTTTTTCTGTACTCTGCTTCCGATACCGTTTTTTTTCAACACTCTTCTATTTTCCACATTTTTGAAAAATTCTCGACATTGATGCATCTGGGAGCAAAAATGTTACAGACCATTGCGTTAAGCGTACAATTTGCTACAACTTTTGTTGTAAAAGCTTTTCTGTATCATGCTCCGGATACCGATTTTTTTTATACTCATCCAATTTTCATATTTTCGAAAAATTCTCTTCATTGATGCATCTGCGAGCAAAAATGCTACAGAGCATTGTTAAGGAAAGAGGTTGCGTTATCAATTTTTGTGAAAGACGAAGTTTCTTGGAAGGTTATAAATGAAGGATTAGTAGAGCATGCTAATAACGAGAATTAATTACAACTGGAAGTTGTTTATTGAACCAATGATGCTGATCAATTTATTTCGTTGTTTGCTTGGAAAGATTATTTTGGATATAAAGAAATATATTGAGGGAATCAGATTTTTGGAAAGTTGTAAATGAAGGAAAATATAATAAAGAAAATTAATAACAAATTTTGTCTTTATAATTTAATAAAGTTATTATTTCAATTATTGTATAAAAGCATTATTTAATTCACATTTTACAACATTTATAATCTGCATTCACAAAATAATTATAAATCTGTACAATAAATACAACTTCACCTCTCGAAAAATACAAATCACAAGTTCTTATTTACGGGACTTCTCATCGGATCGCTATTTAGCACGCAAAGCGGCCTCCTCTATAAAAAATAATACAGCAATATACAGCCTCGAGTGACTAATTTGGGCTTCAAATTGATTGATCCAAAGATAAAGTTTATAATAATACATTTACCATATAAATTGGTATTAAATATAAAGTGTGGACTAGCAAAAAAATTCCCATCATTCAATTAATAAAAAGAAAAACGCAAATGCAACGCATATTTTGATAAAAAAACTATTTTCGATCTAAAACTGAAAACGTTTCTGAACGGTTTCTAAACTAATCAATACCCTGCCTATCCTGAAATTCTATTTAAATGAAATTTTTTTATCAAAAACGTGATTATAACATTTATTTTATTTATTACAAGTTTTTAGAAGGGGTGTTAAATGAATTCCTTTTGCAAGCATTTTTTCTTCAAAGTCGCGATCTTCCTCACAGTGCCTGAAACATGTATAATTTATTAATTACATTAAAACCTAATTTAAAACTAAATAAGAAAGTGTTAATAACGATTAATTCTTTGTGACATTTATATCCTAACATGCCATTAATTTATTAGAACCCAAAACTTATCACAATGAACAAACAAAAATTGCAACACAAGCTTTTTTCCTTATTAAAAAAATAAAAGTTTTTTATTTCAATTTAATTTGGTCTAAAGCACCTCAATCTATCCTCTTCAAGAACCGATATCAACGAGTCTCTTTTTGCAACGATTTCCATCATTTCCTTTATAATACTCCCTTCAATTTCAACTTCTTCCTTCGATTTAGGTTCTGCTATAATCAATAATTAATTAATCTTTAATTTTTAAATGTTTTTGTTAATATTTTTACCCCTTTCTAATCTTTCGCGTAAATCGTGTTGTAACCTAGCGTGTCTATCTTCTAATTCTAATTCTTGAGCGCGAATCATCAACTCCTTTTCGTATCGTCCCAAATCTGTTCTTTCCCGCATCAAATCAAACCATTCCTTCAACAAATCCGCTTCGTCTCTCGTCAAATCGTCTGTGTCGTTTGTTTCACCTCTTAAAGCTTTCTCCACCATAACTCCTCTTAATTCCAATTCTCTCGTTTTCACCTCGGTTTCTTCTAGTTTTCTTTGAATTTCTTGCGCCATCCTATGCCTAAGGGTTAGTAGTAGGTGTGTGGTTAGTTAAGGGCGTTAGTTAAAAACCACAAACAACTTAACCGTAATGTTATAGATTTTTTTCTGTTATGAGACAAGTGACCACACTTAATTTTGTTTGTACATAATTATTATTATTTTTGGATATTTACCGTTTTAATTGTGCTTGTCTGGCAGTTTTTCTTCCGCTGCGATTTGGGCGGCGACCAAATGATGATTCTTCGGTTATTCCCGATTGATCCAAAGCGTCGCAGGAACTTAAATCTTTTCGTAAATCTAATTCACCATCAGAACTTTCATCTAAAAGATAAAAATGACATATTTATAGACTTTTGGCATAGATTTAAAGATATACTAAGACTTTTAAGTGTTTCAAAGATACCAGGAAGTAAAAAATGTTTGTTGGTGTCTGTCAAAATTACTCAAATCGATTAAAAACATTCTCAAATTACTTAATAAAGGTGAAAAAAGTTAGATAAGTTAATGTGGAAGCTTTGCAGAAGTTTCAAAAAATTTAGGATATGAGTAAGGTGTGAATCAAAATGGTTCTAATCGATTAAAAACATCTGTAAGATACATAACGATGATAAAAGAATACAAATAATTAACTTTGATATATTTTTAAGTATTTTTAAAATATAGAGAAATAGAAAAAGCTTGTTGGTGTGTGTCAAAATGATTTTAATCACATTTAAACAACTTTAGGTTACTTAACAACGCTAATGCATATTCATACAAGTATATTTGATGTTTTCCAGAAAATTCAGAAACTTTAGAATATGGAAAAAGTTGATTGGTGTGAATCGAAATGGTTCTAATCGATTAAAAACATCTGTAAGATACATAATGATGATAAAAGAATACAAATAATTAACTTTGATATATTTTTAAGTATTTTTAAAATATAGAGAAATAGAAAAAGCTGGTTGGTGTGTGTCAAAATGATTTTAATCACTTCTAAACAACTTTAGGTTACTTAACAACGATAAGGCATGTTCATACAAGTATATTGGATGTTTCTCAGAAAATTCAAAAACTTTAGAATATGGAAAAAGTTGATTGGTGTGAATCGAATTGATTCTAATCGATTAAAAATATCTGTAAGATATATAACAAAGATGAGAGAATACAAAAATAATTAACTTTGATTTTTTTTAAGTGTTGTAACTTGTTCTAAACAACTGTAGATTGTTGGATAAAGACAAAGTAAGTAAATAATAGTATATGGGTTGTTTTTCAGAAAATTTAATAGAAATGGAGCGAGATATTTAATTTAATTATAACTTTTAATTATATTTTTTAATATTCACAAAATATTATTAAATGGAAAATAAAAACGATTTATTGTTATAATTTTCCATTACATATTTTATTTTTCGTTATGATTAAGACTCCCAGAATTTGATATGAATTAAAAAAAAAACTTCGATAATCGTGAAACATAATTCATCATTGCGATATTTAACCCGTTCGGATTTCTGATTTCATTAGAAAAAATTTCTTTGTATTGTTCTTGTATGCGATAATAAAAATTCTCTCACGACTTTTCTGATATCCCCCCCCGAATAACCACGTTTTTCGATAATTTTTGGTATATAAACTCGATCCGGCTGACCACTATTCAGTGTTAATTCACTCTCACCCTTTGATTTGTTTCCCATGCACAACGAGGTGTTCTTGTTGACCGTTTGGATGGTTGTAACTTTGGCTTTCCACGGTAAGTAATTTAAACAAAATAATAGTTTGTATTTATTAATATTATTAATACGTATTAGCTGGGGCTTCGCTCACCGAAGAAGATATTTTTCTGGAATATGAATCGGAGAGGAATTCTCAGACTGCGCAAATGTAGCGCATGAATGTTGTAACCAAGGTATAATAGATGTTGAGAATTTGTAAACTCGGGTTTGTTTGATTTATCATTGATTTAAGTGTTACAAAAAATTTTTGTTCCTCAATACTTCGAAAACTCAAGTTCTCTAAGTTTTTGAGAAGCATAAATCTTTTGTAACACATATCTTTCGAAAAATCAAATTACAAATACATCCGTTATACTTTGGTTACAATATTCATGCGCTGCATTTGCGGGTTCTGAGAACCTCCTGTCCGTCTCACATTTCGGAAAAATGTCTGTTTCAGTAATCGAGACCACAGAATTTATGTTAATAGCATTAATAATATAAAAAAACTGTTTATTTAAAAATTATTTACCACGGAAAGCCACAGCTGCGATCATCTGAACGGTTAATAAAAACATCTTATTGAGTATGGGACCCAAAGCAAAGGATGAGTTACATTTAACACTTAATAGTGGAGCTTATACACCAAAAATTACTGGTGTAACTTATCCACTACAAAAATTTGATCCCACATTCGAATATTTCTGCAAAGATAATCAATCAAGAGCAACCAACAATATCAAAATGGTGCTTCAAACTTTCGAGAAACAAGAAAAGGGGACTCTAAAAGAAGACCCGTTGATGAATTACAATATTTAACATCGCTGTCTATGAAAGAAGAAATCCACAAAGGAAAGAAGAGATTTAAGAATGTGTGTAACATTAAATTTGTGTAACACAAATTTGTAATTTGTGAATATTAAATAATTGTTTAAATATATTTTCTTAAATTTTGTATTTGGTTTTGAATTTTCAATATCCTTTCTATTTTATGAATATATTTTATGAATTATAATAAAAATTGCATTTATAAATTATCGAAACGTACAAGTTATAAGATATTTTTTATAACACAAAGAGGAATATATAACTGAAGAAATCAAATCGTATTCAGTAAATACAAATTAAAGGAACGATGAAGAACGAACAAAAAAATGTGGTAGGATTGATCGGTTCTAAGATTGTAAATTAAGAATAAATGAAAAGACTAAAACCAATTTATTTAATCCACTATTACGATTGCTCGCTGATTGAAGTATTTAGTATACAAATTAAATTATTTAATCATTTAACATTAACCTCCAATGGCTATGTGTTATACAACAAAAGGATCCTGATAGATCCCACTAATTGTGAGTTGAATTGAAAAGGCCCAATTCATTTCTAAGATGAATATGACAAGGATATGACACGTGGTCTTGACACGGTTATGCACTGCCCTCAAACCATTCTTTTATTGGAATCAAAATTTCCAACATGTTTCCCTCCTAATCTGCCTTTAGATAATTGTTATATTGAGATAATCGGACATAAATCTTAATTACAAGTAGGTGACTTAATTCACTTAACACAACTAAGGACTCCACAGTATTATACAAGTATATGTCCCTATATGCGACATTATATTATGTATTATGTTATACTAATTAATATCAATTTTCATCAAAATTTTAATATGTTGTCTGAATATTATTTGCGAAAATAAAGAAATGATTTATACATCAAATGAATGCTTAAAATATATTCTTTAAGGTGGAATATAACAGTCAATAATAACCTAATTATCTTTCCTTGAAAAAAGTTAATATGAAACATCTAATATTTTCACTTAACGCAATTAATGTTAAAAATGTCAAAACTTTAAAACATCGTCCAAACCTTATTTATAAATATAAAGAATTGATTTATATATCAAATGAAAGCTAAGAATATAATCTTTAAAACGGTATATAAGAATTAGTAATAATTTAATTATGTTTCCTTGAAATAAGATAATACTAAACATCCGATATTTTCACCGAACCCAAGTAATATTAAAAAATGACAAAACTTTAAAATATCGTCCAAACTTTATTTACAAAAATAAAGAATTAATTCATATATCAAATGAAAGCTTAGAATATAATCTTTAAGATGGTATATAACAATCAGTAATAATCTAATTATGTTTCTTTGAAATAAAATAATACTAAACATCCGATATTTTCAGCGAACCCAAGTAATATTAAAAAATGACAAAACTTTAAAACATCGTCCAAGCTTTATTTACAAAAATAAAGAATTAATTCATATATCAAATGAAAGCTAAGAATATAATCTTTAAGATGGTATATAAGAATTAGTAATAATTTAATTATGTTTCCTTGAAATAAGATAATACTAAACATCCGATATTTTCACCGAACCCACGTAATATTAAAAAATGACAAAACTTTAAAATATCGTCCAAACTTTATTTACAAAACTAAAGAATTAATTCATATATCAAATGAAAGCTAAGAATATAATCTTTAAGATAGTATATAAGAATTAGTAATAATTTAATTATGTTTCCTTGAAATAAGATAATACTAAACATCCGATATTTTCACCGAACCCACGTAATATTAAAAAATGACAAAACTTTAAAATATCGTCCAAACTTTATTTACAAAACTAAAGAATTAATTCATATATCAAATGAAAGCTAAGAATATAATCTTTAAGATAGTATATAAGAATTAGTAATAATTTAATTATGTTTCCTTGAAATAAGATAATACTAAACATCCGATATTTTCACCGAACCCACGTAATATTAAAAAATGACAAAACTTTAAAATATCGTCCAAACTTTATTTACAAAACTAAAGAATTAATTCATATATCAAATGAAAGCTAAGAATATAATCTTTAAGATAGTATATAAGAATTAGTAATAATTTAATTATGTTTCCTTGAAATAAGATAATACTAAACATCCGATATTTTCACCGAACCCACGTAATATTAAAAAATGACAAAACTTTAAAATATCGTCCAAACTTTATTTACAAAACTAAAGAATTAATTCATATATCAAATGAAAGCTAAGAATATAATCTTTAAGATAGTATATAAGAATTAGTAATAATTTAATTATGTTTCCTTGAAATAAGATAATACTAAACATCCGATATTTTCACCGAACCCACGTAATATTAAAAAATGACAAAACTTTAAAATATCGTCCAAACTTTATTTACAAAACTAAAGAATTAATTCATATATCAAATGAAAGCTAAGAATATAATCTTTAAGATAGTATATAAGAATTAGTAATAATTTAATTATGTTTCCTTGAAATAAGATAATACTAAACTTCCGATATTTTCACCGAACCCAAGTAATATTAAAAAATGACAAAACTTTAAAATATCGTCCAAACCTTATTTATAAATATAAAGAATTGATTTATATATCAAATGAAAGCGTACAATATAATCTTTAAGATGGTATATAACAATTAGTAGTAATTTAATTATGTTTTCTTGAAATAAGATAATACTAAACGTCCGATATTTTCACCGACCCAAATAATATTAAAAAATGACAAAACTTTAAAACATCGTCTACACTTTATTTATAAAAATAAAGAATTGGTTTATATATCAAATGAAAGCGTAGAATATAATCTTTAAGATGGTATATAACAATCAGTAATAATTTAATTATGTTACCTTGAAATAAGATAATACTAAACTTCCGATATTTTCACCGAACCCAAGTAATATTAAAAAATTAGAAAACTTTAAAATATCGTCCAAACTTTATTTATAAAAATAAAGAATTGATTCATATATCAAATGAAAGCTTAGAATATAATCTTTAAGATGGTATATAACAATCAGTAATAATCTAATTATGTTTCCTTGAAATAAGATAATACTAAACTTCCGATATTTTCACCGAACCCAAGTAATATTAAAAAATGACAAAACTTTAAAACATCGTCCAAACGTAATTAATAAAAATGAAGAATTGATTCATATATCAAATGAAAGCTTAGAATATAATCTTTAAGATGGTATATAACAATCAGTAATAATCTAATTATGTTTCCTTGAAATTAGATAATACTAAACTTCCGATATTTTCACCGACCCAAATAATATTAAAAAATGACAAAACTTTAAAACAGCGTCCAAACTTTATTTATAAAAATAAAGAATTGATTCATATATCAAATGAAAGCTTAGAATATAATCTTTCAGATGGTATATAACAATCAGTAATAATCTAATTATGTTTCCTTGAAATAAGATAATACTAAACTTCCGATATTTTCACCGAACCCAAGTAATATTAAAAAATAACAAAACTTTAAGACATCGTCCAAACTTTATTTATAAAAATAAAGAATTGATTCATATATCAAATGAAAGCTTAGAATATAATCTTTAAGATGGTATATAACAATCAGTAATAATCTAATTATGTTTCCTTGAAATAAGATAATACTAAACTTCCGATATTTTCACCGACCCAAATAATATTAAAAAATGACAAAACTTTAAAACAGCGTCCAAACTTTATTTATAAAAATAAAGAATTGATTCATATATTAAATAAAAGCTTAGAATATAATCTTTAAGATGGTATATAACAATCAGTAATAATCTAATTATGTTTTCTTGAAATAAGATAATACTAAACTTCCGATATTTTCACCGACCCAAATAATATTAAAAAATGACAAAACTTTAAAACATCTTCCAAACTTTATTTTTAAAAATAAAGACTTGATTTATATATCAAAAGAAAGCGTAGAATATAATCTTTAAGATGGTATATAATAATCAGTAATAATTTAATTATGTTTCCTTGAAATAAGATAATACTAAACTTCCGATATTTTCACCGAACCCAAGTAATATTAAAAAATGACAAAACTTTAAAATATCGTCCAAACATTATTTATAAAAATAAAGAATTGATTCATATATCAAATGAAAGCTTAGAATATAATCTTTAAGATGGTATATAACAAACAGTAATAATTTAATTATGTTTCCTTGAAATAAGATAATACTAAACATCCGACATTTTCACCGAACCCAAGTAATATTAAAAAATGACAAAACTTTAAAACATCGTCCACACTTTATTTATAAAAATAAAGAATTGATTTATATATCAAATGAAAGCTTAGAATATAATCTTTAAGATGGTATATAACGATCAGTAATAATCTAATTATATTTCATTATGTTTTTTTCACCTAACCCAAGTAATCTAAATCCAAATGTTTCTAGTTCTAGGTCTAATGTTAGTTCTAGTGACAGTGGAAGTGTAAAACTAGAGCTAATACTAGACCATTCGGGTTTAGCAGTCTTTAGAGACGTGTGGCTAAACCCAAATGATTCTAGTTCCAGGTATAGTGTTTGTTCTACATAATAACAGTGCTAGTGTAAAACTAATTTTTAATTGTTATTCAGCGCTAGATTGTTGTATATTTTTATTGAAGTAGTTAAAGGTTAAATATACGTATTAGAAAAGTACGTATATTAGATTATACAGTAGAACTAGAATCATTTGGGTTCTATGTCTAGTATTATTCTAGCTTTAATTGTTATTCAGCGTTAGATCGTGGTATATTTCTATTAAACGAAAACACTAGAACTTGAACCAGAAACATTCGGGTTTAGCTATGCGTCTCTTAAAACGGAAACTCAGAGTTACTCAGAGCTATGGTTATTGTATTCATATATTGAAAGTTACATGAAATTCCCCGTATAAGAATCGTTAATATCAGTTTTCTAGTCTGTCCAATTAATGTCAATACTGCCATCAATGTCCTATGATCTATTCGTCCTTTAAATACTATAATGTTCTCGCTATTCTTCTTTATTTATTAGACTGATACTTCCAGATTCTTTTTCAAATTCCTCAGATTTTTGATTACATTCCATGCTTGGAACACCCTCAATTCTTCCAAGCATCATCCCTCGGTCGAGGGGGTGAGTATAATATTGAAAGGTATTAAGATCAATGTTAAGTGAGATGATCAATAACCAGTTATGAACCAGATTGATAGTGGTTACATTAATATATGTCAGGAATGATATTGAGAGTAGTTAGGGACAATAGTAGGAGAAGATAAGAATAGGAATGAAGATTAACCTCGATAAATATAAAGGGCGATATTCTGAACAGTTAAGGACATATTTAATATTATAATTTATAATTCCTGATACATAATTTTGAAACACCTATATAATATTTTTCCAACTTACAAATAGCAATAAATAATAACATAATAAAAATAAAATAAATTAAAGAAAATTAAATAATTTACCTTTCATTCCAGTGTAATTTTTTGGTAGAGGTGGAATTGGCGGTGGAATATTTTCTTCGACACTTCTGCGTAAATTAACTTCCGAGATACTGTTCCGACGTAGTGGTGATATAACAAGCTTATCCTGCATAAAAAATTTCGTTAATACATTAAAACAAAAAGAATTAACTGATGTTAATTAATATGGGTTGCTTTATGTTATGCTAATTATTCAAATAATTAAGTACTTCTTTAGAAACAATGCTCGTGCTAAAACTGATTCAAATGAAAACATATATTTCAACAAAATGATTAAATCAAAAAGAAAGTATTTACAAAAGTAACAACATCGAATTCTAATAAATAAAATTATAATCTACATTGTTAAATAATAATAAACAATAATAATAAACGAATCTTAATCGTTACATACTTTACCTGTAAATAGAGATCACTCTGCGAATGAGACATGCAAGATGTTTTTGAAAGAAAATTTCGTTCAATAAGAATTAGATTCTAAAGCGAGATAAGCGAACTTACAAAAGCATGCGGTGCAAACGTTACACAAAGATACACATAAAAGTAAACTCAAAATTTCCTTACAAGGTCCTCTAGATCCAGAGCGTACAACGACTGTAAAAACATCAAGGTTTTGTATTAAAAAAATTTTGCCTCCTCCGTTGTAAGTTTATTATTATTTTCATTATCAATTAAATTATTCTTGTTAAACTTTTTTCCAAAATCCAAGTTTCATTGATAAAGCTTTATACAATTTTGCGATTAATCTTAATAAAACAAACAATATACCTTTGATTTAGTTTTGCTCTTCGGAGAGATCCTGGATAGAAATCCTTTACTTTGACTTGGCGGCGACGTCCCGGCGTTATCTTTTTTCTTCGTAAACATATCCGTAATAAATTTAGTAATACTTTTTCGCCTCTCGCGATCTTTCGATTTCTTCTCCTTCTTCTGATCGGTCAACAAATTAGGATCCGACTTACAAAACGACGTATTCCCAGAATTCTTTATCTCAACCGGTTTCAACGCTAAAGGACGGTTTATTTCCGAAACCGATTTCGTCCTCATCGGTAAAGATAACTCAACGTTCGGTCGAACCGGGCTTAACTTCAACGTTAAATCAACACTACTTTGTGTCACTTCACCGCCACTTTTCGATCGTCTAAACGAAGTGTTTCGTTTTAAAGTGTCGTTGTTGTATAATAACGAGTTTCTTCGTTCTCGATTAATAACTAAAGACTCGATACTATCTTGAATGTGGATATCTACGGTTTCGTTATCTTTTAGTTTTTTACAAGTTTTTTGGCGGAGTTTAACTAATTTATCTTCGGGGCTTAACCCGAGATCTTCATCGGAAAGGAGACGTACTCTCGCGCGCGCGTCTTGTTTGAATTTTTCCGCGGTGCGTTTCGCTTCGTCGCATTTCGTTCGAGGTGGGGCTTTTGGCGTTTTAAATTCATTGTTAATTTGGCTTACATCGGGTAATTTATCGGTTGTTGAAAGTTCTTTTTTGTAGATATTAGATTGCGATTTTTGTAGTGGGTTTATTGTTGATAATAAAACGTCCGGTGTTACTTGACTTGTAATTTCAGTCGTTGCTGATTTAGTAAGTTCAAATGGTCTTATAGGGCTAAAAGAATTCCTACTTCTTTTTTTACGTTCTAAAGATTTATTTTGAGCCTTCATTTTGTTCATGACCATTTCCTGTACTAATTTTTGGTTCAAATTGCGTTCTTTTTCAATTTCTTCTTTTTTATACAAAGTTGTTATTATTGGAAGCACGATTTGTGACGAAGAAATTTTCTTTTCTTCTTGTATTAAATCCGGTTTGATCACGTCGGGTTTACTTTTTCGACGAGTTTTACGTATATCTATAGAATCTCTAGCGTTACTAAATTCAATCTTTGATTGTAACCTTTGACAGTGTTCATCAAATTCTAAAGAAGGTAACTTATTTTCTAGATTTGTTGGTGTTTCTAATTCAGTCAAAACAGGAGTTATTTCTGGCTTAGAATCAGCTTTAATATCAATCACCTCATCCTCATTTGATTCTTTTATCGTTTCAATTTCAATATTTTCATTTTTTTCTGTTACTACTTTAACAGTTGAGTCACTACAAGTATTTTCTTCCGTTGTTGTTCCAGTTTCTACAACAACCAGACTATCATCATTTTTATCTTCTTCAATACCATTTTTCCCTTCATTTATTTCTTCATCTACATCTTTATTTATTTCATTATCAACCAAGCTTGTTATAACAACAGGATTTGCCGTTTCAACGATATTATTAACTAAAATAACAGGCGATAAGCTATCCTCAAGAAATTCATCATCGTTATGAAACTGAACGTACCCATTATTTTGTGTTGGGGCGTTATCATCGCTACTTTCAGTTCCGGTATCCATAAACTCAATATTCTCGATATTCAAGTTTAAAATATTAACGCATTCCGTTACAGGTTGTTTTTTCTCTTTATTTTTTGCACAAACATGCTCGATTTTAACTTTTTTAACAAATTTGTCTTTGGTTTTTGGGCTCATTTCGAAATCTACGTCTTCTAAATCATCGGAACCCATTCCGTCGCGGGCCCAATCTGATAATTCGGTTTCTGTTAAAGCCGCTTGATTGATATCTTCAGTTGAGGGGCTACTTCTCCCGCTTTTTAATGATTTACTTTCTTCTTTGTCTTCTTTTTCGAGTTTTTCTTTTACATGTAAGGCACTATGTTGCTCTGGTAAAATTGAGTCATTCATTTCCGGTAAAATCTTTGGTTGATTTAAAGTTTTCTTTTCCCCATTAATTGATTTTGGGACGTCTAATTTCCTGTTAACATCTACAACGTTTAAGCTATCAAATTCTTCGTTTAAAATCGCCCCAGAATCATCGTGTACTTCCAACCTTGGGATATTATTAACGGTTGATTTTGAAGTTATGTTAACATCTAACTCTGAATCTGTCGATGAAAGACTATCAACATACTTCTCTTTATCTTTTTTATTTTTTTCCCAATCAATTACAGGGACTATAATACTTTTTTCGTGAACAGGACTCCTTGGGCGCCCCTCCGTTTCGTTAACTTTCAAAATTTCTTCATCTAAACTCGATTTAGTTTCGGGGACGCAACTTGTACTCGCACATTTTGTAATTTCTAATAAACCATTTAAACTTGGCGATTTTAATTCAACCGTAGGCGACGTTTTGTCTTTACCAAAAATATTCGGCCCACCAAAAATAGGAGATAAAGGCGACGTTCTTTCGTTTAATCTATTACAAAAAACTTGCATACTCGCGCTTATTTCGGGCGCTGGCTTCAACAATTTCTGACAATCGCTTATATTTGTATGAAACGATTTAAATTTCGAATCCAACGTCGAAGCACTACCCGATTTTTGAATATTCCCCGCCGTATTAACCTCTCCCAATAAATATTTCTTTTTCAATTCCAACGACACTTTAGTTGCTATACCACCGGTGCTTTGCGTGCGATTCAACGAGTAACCCTCGTTTTTAGCGAAGAGTGAAATCGGTGGCGGTTTTCTTATAACCGGCGACGGAATCAACGGTGTAAATTTCAGTTCGATATCTTTACTTTTTTGGGCCCTACCGTTGTTGTTGGTCGGCCCTTGTAAAACTGAGGACTTCACCTGTACTTTTTTCGGTAAACCGGATCCACGAGTCTTTGTCACGAACTGATCGAACATCTTTTTGGGCGCCTCCCGAGTTGGTGTTGGTTCGTCGTGCGCAAATTCCGAATCGGTTGAAATTTCCGTTGCAGAATTTTGTATTTCGCTGGATGATTCTGATGAGGATTCGCAAGAAGCAATCTGGAAATTATAAAAATTAATTGTGGTTTTGAATGGGTTATTTAATATTGTAGATAGATTTATGGTTTATTTTTAATGTAAATAAAAAGACATGCAAACATTTTTTTAGGTAAGATTTAAACCATTCATTATAATGAAAATTAAGTAAAAAATTAAATTAAATAATGAAATTAATAGAAATGTAGATATATTCGTTGTCGGTGTTGAGAACGCTGATTCATAATGATTAATTGAGTCATTGGTGCAAGACAGAACAAGTCATTGGAGCAAGAAGATTGGAAACATATTTTATAGTGGCTCATATCAAATGATGTACTCATATTTCAGTAGCTTTGTTTCCATTATTTGACATGTGCGACTAAAAATTTGAATTTCAAATCAGTTAGAACCTGTCAAATCATTTATACGAAGTCTATTATAGGCGAGTTTTAGATAGCAATAACGGGATATGCATCTTATATAATGCCTCCAGAAGTGTCACACCAATTCTTATACAAAATTTGTCGATATCTTCTCGTTTCTGACCCCTTTTAAAGTCGTTAGGAATTCACTTGAGAATCTAATCGAATTGCAGTACATGAAGTAATATTATTATCGTTGGAAGGATTACCAGCTTGTAATTAAGTTTCTCCAAAAGCTATGATTAAAATTTTTTGGGTTGGTCATCCAGAGGTGAACCCTTTTTACAATTGAAAGATCTATGTGGACATATTCGAACCTTTCACTTGAAGAGTTAAACTAAACTCAGTAAGTGCTGAGCTCGCTGATACTGGTAGCAATTGCTCTAATTTCGACTGTGATGGTTGATGAAATGAATTAAAAACTGCCCGTCTAAACGGACGTAATTGGGTATGGAAATGTCGTCTTCAGGTTCAATATCGAATGATTTGGAATTTGATTGGAATGCCACCAATATCTCGAAGTCCAGCTGCAGGTGGTAATACAGAGATACACGTGAGGATATTCGCTTCAAGGTTGCTAACCGTTTTAGTTAACGGATCTATCGTTGTAAGAAAAATAGAGGATCTTTCGTTGCAATATAATCCTGCCATGGGTTGAACACTTCAGATTAACAGGAAGCATTGCAAAAAAAAGCCCGCGGAGCCTATAATAAGTGCCATAACACCGGAAAATATCGCGAGAGTGTCAGAGGCAATCACATCGACCAGTCGATCGACACGTTAATATGTTACAGTACAACAAAGGAAAATAGATTTCTATGTCGTTGCCCAATTGAGGACCTTGGAAACTGGTTCGAAGTAGTTTCTGAAGAAACTATTTCGAAAGAAGACGCACGGCAAAACTCGAAAGTTTCTAGTGTTAGTTCTAGTTTTAGTTCTAATTTTAGTTCAATTAACTCCGGCCGTGAAAGCCTTCGTACTTATATCTTCAAGTATATTTTGTAATCTATTTTGCATCTTCAAGCAAGCGTAAAAAATGTTGTTGTTGTCATATTGCTACAAAAACTGTAACCAAAATATTTATTACAATCAAAAAGACAGTTCGAAGTAGTTTCTGAAGAAGGTTGCAACAAGCATCCGAAACGTCAAACCTTTTCTTAAAAGACGCACGGCAAAACCTGAAAGTTTCTAGTGTTAGTTCTAGTTTTAGTTTTTAGTTAATTTTAGTTTAATATACTTGAAGATAATGAGTTCTTCAAAGATTTGGAAAAGGATGTCGTTGACGTGTCAACGTTGAAGTGTCAGATTGCGAGAACCTGGATGAACCCGCAAGATGTTTGTGGATTGTTAAGTTGAATTCCACGTCACTGAGTCAAAAACTGCACAGGAACCAAAAAAGAAGAAAAAGAAGGTTATTTTATCATCATCTTGGAAGAAAATTAGTCAGAGTTTTTCAAGTGATTCAAGCACTTCTTCGAATGTAGCTTCAATGATAAGCGATATCAAACTGAATTTGAAACGGAAAACTCCAGTTGAAATCTTTGAACTAATATTTGATGAATCTTTGTTAGAGTATATTGTTACTCAGAGTAAAATTTTTGCAGAATAGAAAAATTGCCAGTTGGAATATTTTTATTATCTGGATATCATTCTGTACCCCAAGAGGTGAGTACTGGTGTGGAGATAAAGATATCAATATAGAAGTGTAAAAAATTGTATGACCAAAAACAGATTTGTAGAAATAAAAAAGTATCTGCATTTCAATAATAATTCCATGATCAGATAAAGTGGACAGATTGTTTAAAATTCATCCTATTATTGATAAATTCGATACCAATTTTAAAAAATTCTGAATTATTTCGTAAAAGCTTTATGTAGATGAGCAAATGGTCAGATACTATGGCCACCACCACATTTTCTTAAGCAATTTCTCCGGGGAAAGCCTATAAGATTCGGATTCAAACAATGGGCTTAATGTTCTTCCATCACCGGTTTTTGCTTTCATATGGACGTTTATCAAGGTAAATTTGTAGAACAAGAAATTAGTGGTTTAGGATCACCTGTTATAAGGAAAATGGCAAAAATATTACAGCATCCAACAGAGTACGAATTGTATTTCGATAACATTTTTACAAGTTTTGAACTAACAGTAAAATTAAAGGAAAATGGTATAAAGCAAAGCCTACTAGAAATACTAGTATTTTTAGTAGGCTTTGTATAAAGGCAACTGGTGCAGTACGATATAATAGGATGAACAAATGTACCATAAAAAAGAAAATCAGGGTGATCATAGATATGACACAAAAAATGAAATTTTCGCTGTGCAATGGAATGATAACAATACTGTGAAAGTACTATCAAACCGTTTAGAACTGGAGCCTTTAGATCAGGTAAAAAAGTGGTCAAAATCTAAAAAGTTACAGTTAACCGAGAATTTGTTAAAACAAATTTTGTTTTGATTTGAAATAGCACCTTCACAAAATGCTGCTGGTTTGCTAGTGCTGTTTGATGAAAACCTGATAATGAAGGATGAAGCTCGTTTCTATNCTAGGGAATATTCTAAGAATGTTCGATCGCTTGATGTAAACGACACCAGAGCGTGCGAACAATTGCTTAGAGCCTTCTTGCGTGTTCGGACGTGCTCGCTCATCGGAGCGGTCTCTTCAAAGCGTTCTTGTATTCTAGCCGAATGAGCATTCGTTCGGCTGATCTAAACATCTATGTGCAAGAATTCTATTTCTTGATTCTCATTTTTGCTCGTTGATATTTTGGTGTAAACGCTAAAAACGCGCTTTCGTTTACACTAAAAGATCAAGAAAGAATGCTCTTGTTCTAGCTCTAGCTCTTTGTTCGTTTGGTTTAAATGCACCTTTAGAGGCAATCACATCGATCAGTCTAGTATTCCCTGCCATAGTCCTCAAATGAGGACTGGAGATAATTTATTTCATAATATTAAATAAATAAGACCGTTGCAAAACACTTACTTGTCATTACAAACTTTAATTATCTTAAGTTGACAGTGTTGATTAGTTATGAAATGTGATTTATTGAAGGTAATTTTTTGAGGTTATCTGAGAAAATTAGCAAGTCGCAGTAAAGCGGAATTGTTTACAAGAGTTTTTACAGAATAAAATTTTTTAAATTTACTCTTATAATTTGAAAATTGAACATCATAGATAGATTTTATGCCTAAAGTGAGTTAATATATTGCAGTACAGCAAAGGAAAATAGATTTTTATGTCGTTCTCCAATTGAGAACCTTAGCATGTACTGTCTTTTTTATTGTAATCAATATTTTGGTTACAGTTTTTGTAGCAATATAATAACAACATTTTTTACGCTTGCTGACTTCAAAGATTTGGAAGAGGATGTCGTTGACGTGGTGGAATTACCACCAGAAAAAGTAGATACAGTGTCAGATTACATGGATGAAGATGTACTACAGGATACTCTGCCGCAAGATCAGAAACGGCACAGGAACCAACCAAGAAGAAAAATAAGGTTACTTTATCATCATCTTGGAAGAATATTAGTTAGAATTTTTCAAGCACTTCTTCGAATGATTCAATGACAGCTTCAATGATAAGCGACATCAAACTGAATTTGAAAGGGAAAACTTCAGTTGATATCTTTGAATGAATATTTGATGAATCTTTCTTAGAGTAAAATATTTGCAAAACAGAATTGCCAGTTGGAATATTTATATTATCTAGATATCATTCTTTACCCCAAGAGCAAATGTAGTGGTGTGGAGACGAAGATATCAAGATAGAATGTGTACGAAATTGTATGACCTAAAACAGATTTATAGAAATAAAAAAGTTTCATTTCAATAATAATTCCATTAACCTCTCAATCAGATAAAGTAGACAGATTGTTCAAAATTCGAACCAATTTTAAAAAATTCTGAATATTTTCGGAATAGCTTTATGTAGATGAGCAAATGGTCAGATACTATAGCCACCATTTTCTTAAGCAATTTATCCATGGAAAACCTATAAGATTCGCATTCAAACAATGGGCTTTATGTTCTTCCATCACCGGTTTTTGCTTTCATATGGACGTTTATCAAGGTAAATCTGAAGAACAAGAAATTAGTGGTTTAGAATCACCTGTTTTAATGAAAATGGCAAAAATGTTACAGCATCCAACAGAGTACGAATTGTATTTCGATAACATTTTTACAAGTTTTGAACTAACAGTAAAATTAAAGGAAAATGGTATAAAAGCGAATGGTACAATACGATAAAAAATGATAAAGACATAAAAAAAGAAATTCAGGGTGTACATGACCATAGATATGACACAAAAAATGAAATTTTTTTGTGACTTGGAATGATAACAATACTGTGAAAGTACTATCAAACCGTTTAGAACTGGAGCCTTTAGATCAGGTAAAAAGGTGGTCAAAATCTAAAAAGTAACAGATAACCAAGAATTTGTTAAAAGAAATGTTGTTTTGATTTGAAATAGCACCTTCACAAAATGCGGGTGGTTCAAAACAAACTATGCACAACATTGAGGCATCCCTGCTGGCTTGCTAGTGCCGTTTGATGAAAACCTGATAATGAAGGATGAAGCTCGTTTCTATTCGAATTGTTCAGTAAAAAAACAAAACTTTCGCTCTAAGGCGTAAAAGACGTAAAATGCCTAAAATTGACTCTTGATAATTCTGGTAATAAACCTTTCCAGTTTGGTGTGCACTTCCCTTTTTGGCAAAATCAGACCCTATTTGTTTGAGGAGAACAACGTTACAGTGACAGTAAATTCGAATCAAGACATGTTGAATACATTTATTTGACCAGAACTTTTAATGTTTATTTTCGACAAAATGGTGCCATAGCGTCATCTTGTTACTGTCAAGATATTCACTGACTACATTCATTTCTCGTTTTGGGGACGAGATCTGGTAGCCAAAGTCGTAAACAACTTTTGACTTTTTAACTTGAGAAGAACCCAAGTGGCTGTACTTTGTAAAGTATTGATTAGAATGTTTAAGCCATATCGGTTTCTGTCAAAATCATAACAAATAAGCAAATCGACAACTACAGTGATACAATAAAGTCTACATACAGGTCGGAAAATGATAATATCTCAGCTCCCGAAATGTAATTCAATGAAATTTTTTAACAATACATGTAAGAAGTTAAAAGGGATGAAATTCTCCATATTTCTGTAAAATTAAATAATAAAAATAGGAGAAAGTAAATACTTTTTGTGAGAAATAGGAAATAGGAATGAATTTTGGTTTTCTTTTTTAAAATACAAAATATTTCCAAAAAACTTTTTACAAAATCGAAACAAATAAAATCCTTTTCAAATATTTTGTATTTTAAGAAAGAAAACCAAAACTCATTCCTATTTCCAACATATTTTAAAATTTCAACATCATTTTGTAATTATTTCAAGTACTGAAATTGAAACATTTGTTTCGAAACATGTTTACTTTTTGAAATAAATTAAGTATTTTTAATATTTCTCACAAAAAGTACAGTAAAGACCGGTTATAATGAGTATGCTTGATAACGAGCACCTGCTCTATAACGAGCAAGCTTCCAAGTCCCGTGAAAAATCCTATCCTTACAATGTAAAAAATCTCGGTTATAACGCGTGCTCGGTTATAACGAGAGCTCGGTTGTAGTTTTGCGTGTTTTGTATCGTCTATAACGAGCGAATGACGTAAAAATCTGGCGACGTCGTGACGCGCCATTTAGGCACCATGGGCAGTTCAGTTTATCGCTAGATTTACGTGAACTTGCATCTATATGTCGTTACAAAAATCCTCATATTAACAACTTAGAATGTATTGAACTTGCGTACTTTTCGCGAAATTCAACTTCCGTCTTACAACCGATGGACCGAGGCATAATTAAATCAATGAAAACGTTTTACCGCCAAAAGTTATTGTTCAAGTTAGTAGAAGCTATGGATCTGAACGAAAAATTAAAAATCGATATTTTAGATGCCATAATAATGCTAAACAGCGCATGGATAAATGTTAAAAAAGAAACAATAATGAATTTGCCGAATGCCTGCTTTCGTCATGCATTCGGCAATCTTGCAGAGAGTTTTAGCGAGGAATATGAAATTCCCTTAGCTCAATTAATTACGCGTATCTCTGTGGAAGAAAATCTTTCTAGTTGGGCAGAGAAAAACGGTTTGGAAATAGACGGTATCGATTTAAATTTATTTGCCACTATCGATGACGATGTTACTACTGGTTCCATTTTATCTGACACTGAAATAATGTCTAACGTGTTGAATAAAGATAATGAATCTGACGGTGAATTAGATGAAGAGGTAGAACGAAACATATCAAAAAATGAATTTTTAGAAGCATTTTCTAGGGTGACACGTTACATTGCAACCAACTATGCGGACAATACTGAATGTATGTTCGCATGCGATACAATAAACAAAAATATTTGCCAGGAATTATTACATAAAAGCATAAAACAGAAAAACGTCCGAGAATATTTCAATAAAAATTAATTTTAGATGTATAATAGTATAGATGTTTAGTTAATTAGTTTTAGTCTATTAGGTAGTTGTATCTGTCTTAAACAACAATGTTATGAAAAATTGCAAAAACATGATAATGTATTTTTTTGTTTTTACCTTTTCAATCGTATACTTTTAAAGCAAACAAAATTTCTCATAGTGATTAATTTCTGATAGTGAATAAACAAAAATTTCATTGTAAAAGTGCAAAAACAAAAAGATTTTTTTAAGTCGTTCTTAAAATTGCTGGTTACTACTTTTTGCACAAGTATTAAAATTTATGTTACATATTACGACAACCTTGGTTATAACGAGGTACCGTCTATAGCGAGCAATTTTTTCGGTCCCTTGACTGCTCGTTATAACCGGTCTTCACTGTATTTACTTTTTCCTATTTTTATTATGTAAGAAGTTCATATTATTTCCATATTTTACATAAAAAGGACTAGAAAGTATTTAGTTCTAGTGTTAGTTCTAGTTTTACACTAGCACTATCACAAGAACTAGATCACAGAACTAACACAACATCTAGAACTAGAATAATTTGGGTTTGGCAGTCTTGAAAGACGTGCGGCTAAGCCCGAATGTTTCTAGTTTTAGGTCTAATGTTAGTTCTAGAGACAGTGATAAGTAGCACTAGTTAGCATAAGATATCACTATGTTGTATATTTTTATTGAACTAAAACTAGAACTAACACTAGACCTAGAACAAGAAAGTATCTGAATGTTTCTAGTTCTAGGTCTGGTGTTAGTTCTTGTTTTACACTAGCACTATCACTATAACTAACACAAGACCTAGAACTAGAATAATTTGGGTTTAGCCGTCTTGAGAGACGTGCGGCTAAATCCGAACGTTTCTAGTTCTAGATCTATATAGTGTTAGTTCTAGTTTTGCACTATCACTAGAACTAACACAAGACCTAGAACTAGAATAATTCGGGTTTAGCCGTCTTGAGAGACGTGCGGCTAAATCCGAATGTTTCTAGTTCTAGATCTAGTGTTAGTTCTAGTTTTGCACTATCACTAGAACTAACAGAAGACCTAGAACTAGAATAATTCGGGTTTAGCCGTCTTGAGAGACGTGCGGCTAAGCCCGAATGTTTCTAATTCTAGATCTAGTGTTAGTTCTAGTTTTGCACTATCACTAGAACTAACACAAGACCTGGAACTAGAATAATTCGGGTTTAGCCGTCTTGAGAGACGTGCGGCTAAGCCCGAATGTTTCTAGTTGTAGATCTAGTGTTAGTTCTAGTTTTACACTATCACTACAACTAACACTAGACTTAGAACTAGAATCATTCGGGTTTAGCCGTCTTGAGAGACGTGCGGTTAAATCCGAATGTTTCTAGTTCTAGATCTAGTGTTGGTTCTAGATTTACACTAGCACTATCACTACAACTAACACTAGACTTAGAACTAGAATAATTCGGGTTTAGCCGTCTTGAGAGACGTGCGGCTAAGCCCGAATGTTTCTAGTTGTAGATCTAGTGTTAGTTCTAGTTTTGCACTATCACTAGAACTAACACAAGACCTTGAACTAGAATAATTCGGGTTTAGCAGTCTTGAGAGATGTGCGACTAAATCTACTGCTGTAGCCTTCATTTCGTAGCACAAGTTGAACTGTTTCGACTTTGTATTAAAATAATATAAACTTCTAATATCCTTCGTTTAAAAAATTCATTGAATAACATTTCAGGAGCTGAGATATTATCATTTTCTGGGGTGTATGTAGACTTATTGTATCACTGTACATATTTATAAGTTTGTGAAACGAAATTATTAATTTGTTTAACTTTGTGCCATTATAATGAATGATAATTAAATACAAACCTAAAAAAATTAATTAAAAATGATGCAATTCTAAAAGGAGCTAAATAAATTAAAAGAAACCTATAAGAAATAAAATCCAGAATTATAAACATAAATAATAATAGCACGGTTAATTGTTAAAAACAAATAAAAAAAATTGGTAAAAAATAAAAAAAAACTAAAACAACACTCACGCCAGCAATGGAAAATGTTAAGTTGCAAAAAAAAAGTAGTCTTCTCGTCTCGTTTTTTTTTATATCGTATTAATTACAACAAACACGTTTAAACCACGCACATAGTTACCTTTAGGTTTACCATTGCTAGAGCGTGACGTGTCGAAACCTGGGCACTACACCGTTCTTAAATTTGTATTTACGTAACGAGGGAGAAATGATGTGTTTATGTGACGAATAATGGGAGAAAAATTATTATTTTGTGAATGCTGGTTGCGATTTAAAGAAACGCGATTATGCAATAAAAAAAAAACGGTTGATGCTTCATAAACTTTGAATATGCAACAACGACAGATAAAATTTTTTAAAACTTTAACAAACACAATAACACAAGCGATGTTAACGCGATTGATGCGTCGCGTTAAGGGCAATCCAAGATTGTTAGTAGAATATTTCTACCCGTTCGTAAAAAAAGTGACTAGAAAAAGTTAAAAATTCGCTGCGTTATTATCACACTCTCGCTTATTTTATTATTTTTTTTTTTAAACACTACTTAAAAATTAACTACTCTATAAAAATTAGTGGGGTTAAAATGAAACAAATTGATTTAATTATTGAATGCAACATTCTTTATCTTTGTTGCTCGTATTCTTTGATCGTTTTTCGTGTGATTTCGAAGAAACGTTTTCGGCCGATGTACTTTTTGGATTTAATTTTACGGTTAAGTTTTGATTCGTTTCCGCCAAACTACAAGCCGAACCTTTGTTGTTATTATTTTGTTCTTCTAAATTCCTCCTTGGTAACATTGGAGACATACTCGATCGTTTTCGTAACGGTTTAATCGGAGGTGGTGGTTCAAATTTCCGAACCATCGAAGGCGAAACACTCGCCGCTCTTAATTGAGGAGTAGGTTTTAATGTTGTTTCACCTTCAACCGAGTTTTGTTTAATTAATCTCGGAATTTGAGATTCTTTTTTGTGTCGCCTTGGAACCGGAGGGGTATATTCGGTTTTTAAATTAATTTCGGGGTGATTTTGATTTTGCTCGTTGATTTGATCGATTATGTTTTGATTATTAACGTTTTCGTTTATTATATTTTGATCTAAATCTTGATCGTGATCTGAAACGTTAGTTGTGGGTAAAAAGGTTCTACTTTTTACCGTTACTGCAGCTTGAAAAAAATTATTATCATTATTTTCTTTGATGGTTTTATCTTCGGCGTTTTGGGTAAAATTTGTTGGATAAGTTGAAATTTTTTGTTCAATTTCATCGAAGTTAATTGTTTTTGGACTTTCAGGTGTTACGGGGAGTACGTGCAAATTTTTTTGGATGCTATTAATGTGGTCTTGTAATTGTTTTAATCTTTCTTGATAATTAACGGTTTTATTTTCTTCTTTATCGTCTATTTTTGGGGAGATTTTTTCAATATTATTATTAGCTTCATCATTAAATCCTTCTTTATTATTTGTATCACTTTTAGTTATTTCAATTTCATCCTCATCTAATTTATCTTTTATATCGTTCAAAAGATCCATTTCATTCAATAAATCCGTAACTAACCTCTCATTTAGGTCACTTTTATCAACGAGATTTTCAAATTCATCACTTAAATTCTCATCAGAACCATGATCATCAAAAACCTTTCCCTCTAGCTTTGTAACAGGAAGCGATTTTCGTTGCAATAAAAATTTATTGCTATGTTTTTCTAATGGCTTCTTAACAACATCTAAATCTTTATTTATTCCAATTCCTTTTTGTAATAATTTATTAATCGGTTTTTCCATTTTAACTTTATCAATTTCTTTCTCTTTGTTGTCATTTTCAAAGACGCCAGCTCGTAATTTAAAGTCTTTCGCCCCGATACTTTTTCTATGATGTTCAGGGAGTAATAAAGGATCTTCTTTTTCAAAGCTTCTATTAAAAGAGAAATTTGCGAATGAATTTCGTTTGACAATGTTTTTCGGTACCACTATATTCCTACGAATTGGTTTAACTTCCGGTTCTGGGCTATCGTTATTCTCAAACTTCTCCAAAACTTTTTTTATGTTAACTTTTTTCACCGCATCTAAATCAACCGAGCTTCGTTTATTACAATTTACGTCGGTTTTAGAACGTTGTAGAATAAAAGGAACATATTTAGGTTGTTGATTTTCTTCTGCTAAGTTTGTTGAGTTAGTTTTTGGCAATTTCCCTAAAAGATGATTCTCGAATTCTGAAATATTATTTTTCGATAATTTACTTATAATATTATCCGAAGATTTTTTAAGGATATCTTCTAAGTTTTTGTATTTTTCCCCCGTTAATGATTTGGTTACTTCGGTTTCTTCAGCTTGATGATCGAGCTCTTCCATCCAAGCTAAAAGATCCTCAATTTTCTCCTCCGGTTTTACATCAATAAATTCTTCCTCTTCCTCTTTAATACACGTCTCTGTTTCGAGAGCTTTAAGTAAATCTTCGATACTATTTGAGATCTTTTCATCAGATTCCGAAGATTCTTGTTTCACCACTTTAATATCGACAGGTTTTAATAATTCATCTTCGTGTTTTAATAAATTTTCAATGTAATCATCGACATCTTTCATATCGCAATCTTCAGGTTCGAAATTAAACGTTTCTTTTTTTGGTGCCACCTCAGCTTTAACGGTTGATTTTTCTGGTAAACTTTGCTGTTTAACTAAAGGTGCTTTTATTTTTATTTGGGCTGGTTTAAAAGGTTTTTTAGTTGTATCACCAAAGTATTTTTTCGCGTTGGAAAAATCCGCTTTAACAACCACTTTTGGTTTACCAACTTCCTTCGGTAAATTTACTTTACTTGGCGTTCGCTTAATAATCAACAAAGGTTCGGGAGGTTTTTCGTCTTGAGTTGGAATAAACTCTTTGCCAAAGCTGCTTTTACGCGGTGGGATTACAAAATTTGGTTTAACCATAATTTTCGATTTTAAATTATTGTTATTAACCGAGCTTGTCGTTGCGCTTTTACGTAAAGGTAAATTTTGAAACTCTACTTTAACATCGTCTAATTCTGATTCGGCGCTGTTAAATTCGTTTGAATTAGTCGATAAATTATCGGAGGATTTGTTCACGGAGGGTGTATTATTTTCAAGTTTGAGCAAGTCGGGTGTGTTGGGATCGTTGGTTTTAGGTAAAATAGAGAGGGGGTTCACCTCGGTATCGGTACCCGTGTCTGGAACGGGCGGTTCGACACGAACTTCCTGTTTGCGAAGTTCCCGAGCACGGATTTCTTCTTCACCTTCTGTTGCTGTATCAGAATCATCTTCTAAACAAAAAAAAAGTTATATTAATTAAATCTACTTTTATTACTTATACAGGGTGTACAAAAAGTATGGAATAACGGTTCTATAGTAGACGCCACGAGAGCTGGCAGTAAATCATCGTTTTCCGTTCTTACAAATGCCATACGTAGTTCACAAACCGCTAGAGAGTAATGTGTGTTTTAAAGACATAGCATTACTTTAATATGTTTGCAGTACAAATCAAATGGCCACGTCGAAAAAGTACGTCTGTTCTTCTAAGGGATGTAACTCTATAATTATAACCTCAAATCGAAACGTCTTGTGAGCGTTGTCATGAATCTGTTAGTGTCACAAGCCGAAAATGTTTTCTTTGAAAGGAAAATCATTAAATAATATCTTTGACAATGTTTGACATATAATCTCCATTACTAACATAACCTACATTTAAATGTATGTGGTGAAATAATCTAAGTCGTACGTCCATATCTTGATTCATACCATTTTTAAGCGATCTGTCACTGCCAGCTCTCGTGGTTTCTACTATGCAACCTAAACTTAAACTTACATCAAAAAAAGTTTTAAATAAAAGTTACTTGACACTATTTTCCTGTATATTTTAAGGTTTTTGGATTCCTTTTGACAAGGTGTTGCAGAATACCATAAGGTTTTATTGCTTTAAACTGCATAGTTTTCGAGATATTGAAACTTTTATTTAAAAAGATTTGACGTAGCGACAACCATGGGGGGGATCTCAAATGAATGAAAATTGTAACCGTCGTCAACGCCATCCGATGTCACCGTCGATAACTAATTCTACACAAATTCAAATTTAAACAACCTTTAAGGTGGCTTATATTTCATTTCTTTTTTTTGTATTCATCTTTGATTAATTAAGTCAAATTAAGTGATGTCAAATATAAATGATATTGATAAATCAGTTAATTTTTTTAATAAATGTAATTTATGAGTGTAATTTTGTAATTAAGTGTAAAAAAGTGTAAAAAACATTTAAAATTTTTTAAATGATAAAAATGTCGGTTATTAATCCTTGCTGTGTACCATCTTGCGATGATAGACATTAAAAGGTAAATTATAAAAATTATTAATTAATAGAGCATAATTACTTTCATTCTGTATTTCTAGATATTATTTTCCGACCGACCCTATTATTTGAATGGCTTGGCTCTCTGGAATACACAATTCAAAATTATTTGAATTAATTAATGATAAGCGTCTAAGTAACTATTGTGTTTGCCCCAACCATTTTGCAACAATGTGCAAATATGTTGAGAAAAAATTGAAAAAGCTACCTACATTATGCTTACTAGGTAAATGAAATTTTGGATAAAAAGTTTGTTTTTTAATCTATATATGTTTTTTAAATCATTTAGATTTGTAAGAAGAAACTATAAATAATTGCTTTTTGTCTCCACAAGATCAACCAACAGAAGATACTTCAGGTATGCTGCATGGTATGAAATTAATTATTTAGTTTCATAATTCATAATTATATAATTCATTATATACCATATTATATATGTTTATACCCCGACATGCCATATATATATATTTATACCCCCACATATGTATGCCCCGACAAACTTCCTGGTGTAACTAGTTCAACTGTTATGCAAGTCTATCCTGGATGTAGTAAACAACAAGGTTGCGAAATTGCTTCAACCTCATTTTGTGAGGAAAATTCTGTCATTTCATTAGAAATGAATTGGAAACGGTTCCACCTAAGTGATGAAAAAGAAATAATTGGTAAATACCATAAAAACTGAATAATCATTCTTATTTAAAATTATCTTTATTTTTGTAGATAAGAAACGGAGGAAATTACCTTTTACAAAGAACTGCAGCAATTGCAACCTAACTGGAGTAAAAAAAGCGTTGTGTCGCGCTAAGAAAAATGCCAGAATAATAAGGCAAAAGCTAATACAATTGAGGAAAAATCCTCAGGTATTGGTGAACCTCAAATATTTGAATAAAGAAACTAGAAATTTCTTTAGCAGCCAGTCCCGAAATCAGAAAAAAGAAGTGCTGGCTCTTTCCATTTACAAACAAAGTGGTAAAGGATACCGGTTCTTATCAAATTTCTTTTCATTACCATCCAGGAAGACGCTACAAAAACTGTTAGGGTAAACAAAATGTAACATTATTCTATTTATTGAACTAAAACTAGAACTAATAGTAGCACTATCACTAGAACTAACACTAGCTAGAAATTTTCGAAGTGATTTCGAGTCGTCTTCGATAGTGCTACTATTAGTTCTAGTTTAATTACACCGGCCGTGAAAGCCTTCGTACTTATATTCTATTTATGTTACCAAATTTTATTAGTTTTGTGAATAATAAATTATTATGTTGAAATTAGATCTTTCATTTAAAATATATTTATTTCCTTTTTTCAAAGCAATATTAATTGTGTTATTTTTAAATTTGGCGGTTAAAGTTAGCCCCAACGATCTGGCAACGTCGCTCGCTTCGCTTCGATGCGCAGCGAACAATGTTGCCAGATCGTTGGTTAGCCCAGTTTTACACCATTATCCTAGTGGAAGTTGGTTTTAATCTATGATTAGTACTCTGCGGTGACATCGGATGGCGCTGTACGCAAGGTACAATTTAATAAGGTAGAGTTGGCCATCTCTATCCTTCCTTGTCTCTGGCGACAACCAAATTATGACGTCATTATGGAATAGACAACCTAAGCCTTGACATCACAGGGATGGGCTAACCACAGTTGCTAAGATAAATCGCCATAAAAATGTCATTTAAAATGTCACTTACTTTATGTTATTTTAACACTAATTGAAAAATTGAATATGGAGATTTATCGTTAACAACGAAGATGTTTGGAGTCGGTATAAGCTCCGCCCATCAGTATGACGTCAAGGCTTAGGTTGTCTAATCCATAATGACACCATAATTTGGTTGTCACTACGTCAAATCTTTTTAAATAAAAGTTTCAATATCTCGAAAACTATGCAGTTTAAAGCATTAAAACCTTATGGCATTTTGCAACACCTTGTCAAAAAGAATCCAAAAACCTTAAAATATACAGGGTGTTCCATTTAAAAAACACACTCACCATGTCGTAACTTAGACTGCCGTCAAGATTTTATTTTGTTTCTACGCCAAGATATGCGGAAAATAGTTTCAAGTAACTTTTATTTAAAACTTTTTTTAATATAAGTTGAAGTTTAGGTTGTAGAAGCATTATTCCATACTTTTTGTACACCCTGTATAGATTGTCTTAAAAAGTCATAAATTAATATTCTTTTTATTATCCGAAATATATCTTATTTTATGTAAAAAATCTTTCACCAAAGAAAAAGTATTTCTTCTAAGTGTTCGAAATTAGTGGTTTCTTGTTGGTATTCATCTTCACTTAACTTTTGAGGCTACATCAGTCATAGAAACCATTCTTATTTTTCAGAAAATCTCGCATGCAGAAAATAAGATTCAAGCTAAAATAAATGATGAACTAACTGAGCAGATATCTGTAAATAATGGCATTCGGCTGGGGATTCTTAAGCACACTCTTGTTTAATATCCAATGGATGAAATCATAAAACAAGTACGCAAACTAAGAGGACACAAAATGAGAAATAGGGAATATACATGAAATCTGTCCTATATATACAACTTCATGTGATAGAACTATTTTGAATCATTTTAAAAATAAATTGTCTATAACACTACACCTAGAACTAGAAAGTTGCGTCTTCAGCCGCACGGCTAAACCCGAATGTTTCTAGTTCTGGGTCTAGTGTTAGTTCTAGTTTTACACTAGCACTGTTTTTATGTAGAACTAACACTATACCTAGAACTAGAATCATTTGAGTTTAGCCGCAAGTCTCTAAAGACGGCTAAACCCAAATGATTCTATTTCTGGGTATAGTGTTAGTTCTAGTTTTATACTTGCACTATCACTAGAACTAACATTAGACTAAGAACTAGAAACATTTGGGTTTAGCCATATGTCTCTTGAGACGGCTAAACCCGAATGATTCTAGTTTTTGGTCTAGCGCTGCATAACAATTAAAGCTAGAACTAACACTAGACCTAGAACTTTGTGTAGCATCAAGTAATATGGCAAATTTTAGAAAAAATTAAGATTCAATTGTCGCCCTTTGTCATATGAGTAATTGTGTGCGGAATACCAAATTGTGAAAAATAATTTTGAAAAAGTGTATTTGCTATGGTGATAATGTAACTGGAAATGCTTCTGGCCATCGAGTAAAACGTACAATAACTGTTAAAATGTATGAATAACCAGAAGAAGGAGTAAGAGGTCCAACAAGATATATATGTATGTGTTCGAATCTGCCTTGTGGCACATTTATATGCTGAATAGGAGATTTTGTTATATTTATTAATTTTAGTTTTTTTGACATGGTATACATGATTTAGTCCAAAGATAAACGTATATACTCATGTGAGGCCAAAAGAAGATATGAAACATCGTGAAATTTTTGGAAAATTGGTTACGGAATTTTTCGGGGACATAAATTTTAGGAATGGATGTTATGACATCACACCAAAGAGTTATATCAGGAAAAATTAACTTCAACGAGTGTAAAATTAGTATTACTTCGAGGTTGGGCTTGTAAAAGATGTTATAATTGAAGATCAGTAGATTGTGCATGTTTAATCTCTTTTAAATCAGGATAAGAAAAATTGAGGGATTCTATATTAATGCGTGACATTGTATCTAAAAGTTGTCTCAACAAGAGCGCCGAATTAAAATTTGCCGCCATTTTATTAATACGAGTTGTAGGTACGGCGTTTTTTGTTTGAAAGTTGTCACGTATAGACCGCGCGAATATGGTGAACTATTCAAACGAACAACGTCTAACTATTGTAAAAACACATTACAAAAATGGTGAAAGTTTTGCGAAAACTGTTCGGTCATTTGAAAACATAGCCACAGTAAGGGAATCTGTGGTCGATAATCCAGGAACTTCCATTCGGCATCGTGGTCAAGAATTAAACATTTCCAGAAGCACTATGCAACGCATTTTGGTAAAAGATCTGCATTTGCACGCGTACAAGGTTCAATTGGTGCAAGAAATCAAGCCACGGGACCATGCGCAGCGCCGTGGATTTGCTGATTGGGTGTTGGAACATCATCAAATTAATACGGACTTTTCGAAGAAAATCATTTTTTCAGATGAGGCACATTTTCAACTCGACGGATACGTAAATAACCAAAACTGTCGAATTTGGGGTGCTGAAAATCCTCGTGTGGTACTCAAACAACCAATACATCCACCGCGAGTAACTGTTTGGTGTGCATTTTGGACTGGCGGAGTGATTAGACCGTATTTCTTTGAAAATGCGGCTGGAAATGCGCAAACTGTTAATGGTGTGCGGTATCGCGAAATGTTCACGGAATTTTTGTGGCCCGAATTGGATGTCATTGAGTTTTTCCAACAAGACGGTGCGACCTGCCACACAGCACGTGTAACAACAGACCAAGTTTCCGGGCCGTGTCATTTCTCGATTTGGCGATCAACATTGGCCACCAAGATCGTGCGATCCAAAAACCGATGGACTTTTTTCTTTGGGGTTATGTAAAGGAAAAGGTGTATGCGAATAAGCCTGAAACAGTTGAAAATCTTAAAGAGGAAATACGGCACGTTATTGGTGAAATACAGCCACATTTATGCGAAAACGTTATTGAAAATTTTAACAAAAGAATAACCCTGTGCCAGAGGTTTCGTGGTGGCCATTTGCCTGATGTTGTATTTCACATTTAATCGGAACTATTTTTCTTTATGTTGAAATCAAAATATTTGCTTAATTCAAAAAATAAATGTGTTTTTCTTTAAAATTAAATCCGGCGCCCTTATTGGGACACTCTTTACAATAATGTTAGAATCTCCTTTAATATACCTGATGTCTGAATTAAATTGAGATATATAATAAAGATAACGTGTTTGTCCTGGAGTTTTATCTGATTTGGAAATCAAATCAGTAAATTGGTTGCAGTATAAAAAATGTTTGAAATATTTAATAGATGAATAAATAGGTAACAGTTTTCTATCAAAAGTTGAATAATTCATGTGACTACATGATAACTTTTTTGAAAAGAAAGCGACTGCTTGCGTTGTATATAGAGATCTTTAGCACGCGAAAAAGAGTCAGTGTGCTCATTTGACCACACGGTAATTTACTTCTGATTATTTTTGCAAAGGGTCCAAGAATTTCAGAAACATTGGGAACAAATCTGTGATAGAAATTGATCATTCTAAGGAATCTATGGAGTTCTTTCAGATTTTGAGGTTGAGGAAAATTATTTATTGCTTCAATTTTTGATTGACTTTGACGAGACCCCTTGGAAGATATATGATGGCTTAAAAAATGTATTGAACTTACTCCAAAAACACATTTAGATAGTTTAATGTTGATTCCAAAACTATCTAATCTTTCAAAAAGTTGTCGAAGATGAATTAAGTGTTCATTTTTGTCGTTACTGGCAATAAGAGTATCATTCAGGTAGACAAAAATGAAACTTAAACCAGAAGTTACTTCGTTAATAAACCGTTGAAATTTTTGAGCTGCATTTTTTAATCCAAATGACATATACGGGTGGTCCGTTACTAATGGGACACAGAGCAACAGTGAATTCCTTACATTAAATTATTACGATTTAACCCAATTTATGTTAGTCCAATTGTTAATAACAACGAAGATACAGATGGTTAAAGTTAATACTTTATTTTCGTTTTTCTTTAATAATTTCGTTGTCTCTTACATTATGAACATGAAAATTGGTACATTATCATTTTTTAATACAATAAATAATAATTTGGTGTTAGTTTTGATTTATCTTTCAGATGGCGCTGTCTACCTTAAAAAACCACCCTTAAAGTAGTCATATCTTTTTCATCGTTAAAATTTTTACAACTCACATAACATAAAACAGTTTCTCAGACATTTTTACATAAATTTGGTATACCTATCAATATTCTCTAAAGTTCTCCGTTCCCGAGATAATCACTGTTTAAGGGCACTTTGCAAAATTTAATATCTCAGTAACATCAGTTGGCGTTGACAAAGTTTTTATTTAGTCAAACACTAGACAATCAGTTTGACATTCAGTTTCATTTTACGCTCAGTATTATTGTAATCAATGTATTTGTTACTTTGAAATAATGCCCCGGCATAATTTTTTTTCTAACACGGAAATGCGTGATATGGTGTGCATATACGCTCAAGAAAAGTTTAATGGAAGGGAAGCGTGCAGAAGATATTTATTAAAATACCCCAACAGAAGACAACCAAATCACAAGTTATTTAAAAATTTGTATGACCGCTTAGGTGAGACTGGTTCATTTCGTCCTAAACGAAATACAGGTCGTCCAAAAAAGATTTCCGTTGATGAAGAAGATGAAGTTTTAGTACGAGTTAGTAACAACCCAAAAGTTAGCTCTAGACGTTTGTCAGCTGCAACCGGGTTAAGCAAGTCGTCAATTCTACGAATATTAAAAAAAGAAAGACTGTATCCATACCATTTTGTACCTGTACACGCCTTACTGCCTACTGATTTAAGAGTTCGGTTAGAATTTGCTAATTTTATCAAAANTTTCTTTAAAATGATGTATAATAATATAGTAGAAAGTACCGACTGCTCTAAATGTGCCGAATAGATAACTACAGTTTAAAATTAGTGTTTAAAACTACTGGTACTTTAAAGTACCGTCGGGACACAAAGGGTTAAAAGGCAGTTATGCATATCAACCAGCTTAGTGCGAAGACCTCGCACGTTTTGGTAGTAACACGAAAGAGGAGCCATTGAACATTAACAAGTAACCTATAATGAAAGAGATAAGACAAGTGACAAATGAAAGCTTAACAAATTAAAGCTATAAATCGATAAAACAACGAATTAAAATTATAATAACAAATTTACCTGCTACTTGATGAATCATCGGTACTATCAGAATCGATAATGGAATTTCTAAAATTTCTATCAGTCCATTCATCTTCATCTATTGGACTTGGCGATTCTTCGTGATCTGAAGAAATATGTCCGCTGGATAAATTTGCGAATTCGACTCGTTCGGGTGTTTGGACTAAAATAAAAGTTTCGAATTGAAATGATTATTATTTTTTTGCGTTATTAGTAAAGATTTGATAAGGATAAATACCTCTATCTAATAAATCCAATCCTAAAACTCCTGTAATAGATTGTTTACCTGAAACACCTTCCTGGTTTGGAACAACTTTTTTCTGTTCGATTTTTGGACCTCTTAATTCACCAGGCATTCCGAAATGTTGGGTACAATAAAATCTGTATCCGTGAATACCTTCACGATCAAACATATACGAACCAAGACGGAGTACACTTTGGCAATATTGGCATCTATAAATTAAAAAATTAGTTGATTGAATAAAATGTTTAAAAAAAAAGGACCTGAAGCAGCCACGATGGAAAAATCTTCCTTCAGCAGATAATCTTTCCATAAGATAAACACGTTTTTGACAAAAATGACAAAATTCTGAATTTTGAGATGGAACAACAGCAGTTTTTGAGTTCTAATAAAATAAATTAAGAAATTATTAAGTCATTAATTATTATTAATTCTTACACTTTTTTGTATAGGTTGAACTTTCGGCGGATTAACCGGCTCATTTTTTCCGGTTAATTTCTCAGTAAGACTAGCAACCTTTTGTTGATTTAAATCCAAAGCAGATCCCTCTTTCAATTTTAAATCCAACTGTTTAATATTTTTATCGATTTCGGCGTATTTCACTTCAGAACTGTTCTGTCGATCCAAATGTTGTTTTTCCATTTTTGTCAAACGGGCCGAAAATTGTTCTTTACTCCACTTCGGTACTCTCTCTTTATCTTTATTCACGGATTTCCCCATTTTATTTTCGTGAATTTTCTTCTCAATTTCACGTATGTTCCAATCGGAAGTCTCAATCTTTCCTATTGCTCTCAATAAATCTTTAGGTTTTTTATCAACCGATTGAGTATCTTGCCACTTTTGTTCCATATCTTTAATCCTAGCGGCAAAATCTTCATCCGTTTCCCGTTTCGCTAAAGATGATGGTAAACGATTTTCTCTATCCTAAAAAAATAATTGTTAAAATATGACTCAAAATTATGATAAAATTAGTTTAAAACATTTTTATTGCTTACAAATTATGCAAAATAAAAAAAATTAGTTTAAACATAAATTAAAAATAAAAATTTGTTAGATTAAATCGATGATTCTTCTGTGCTGTTTGGTTAGTAACTAAGATTAATTATTTCTACAACAAAATAATAAAACATAAAAGAAAGGAGAACTCTGTAAGAGGCGTTAAATTACCTGATTGTGGATTACATATTTCCCCTTTACTTTATTTATTCATTTTTATTAAATTATTTTTATTTAATTACACGTTTTCAAACCATTGATGCAATTGGAATGCGCATTTAATTCCAATAAAAAAAAAAGAAATTGGATTTAATTTCAAATATCGCGTGCAATTAAATTATTTAAACACATTTTATGGAATTAGAACATAATACATACTGATATAATTTTAATTTATTCATTTTTGAAATTAAAAAAGATAACCACTATACTTAAGTTACGTTTCTACAGCGTAATTGAAATGTATATTGCATATTAACACCTTTTAATTTGAAAAGAAATAAAGCAACAATAAATAATTAACAAAAATGTAATTCTAATTTATATTTTTGCTTTCCTCCTTTCTTCTTTTAACTGCATTTCTTGCACAATATCTTGATTCACATCGTCTCTTTTTTTAGAACGGCAGCATCAACACAACTCGTTTCTTTCAACATCATTTATAATACTATAGAATAGATAATATTTGAGGATATCAAGCAATTAATACAAACTGAGACGAGTACTTTAAGAATGATAGTGAGAAAGAGAGATAGAGTCAGAATCAGGACTGCAAGAAGATGAAAATAGAATGAACATATCCAAAGAGTGGAAAAGATCTTTACCTCAACCTTAAATTGATCAAGAAAGGCAGAGATCAAAGACCAGCTGGAAGAAGAGATCCCAAGGAGCATTAGTGATGGAAGGAAAGTTGGCTCTTCACCTCTATTGAAAAATCAACGATGATATTTCCCGATGTCATGGATTAGCGATGTCCGGGACAGTGTTGAAGAATTTTAAGAAATATCAGAATTAATAACAAAGATTATTATTATAGGGGGATTTTTTTTAGAGGTATCAGAGACGATAGTAATTAGTCTTGTTAAAGATATATTAAGAAATTTGTAAGACGGATGTTGCGGGATGCTGCAACCTCGATGAACGCTAGGAACGATATTGAAAGATATCAGGGAATAATAATAATAAGGACACATGAGAAATGTTGAGGATGATCATTAGAGATAAAAGGACGATATTGATAGATGATAGAGATGTTGAGTAAAGTCAAAAGATTGTTAAGAGATGTCAGAAACTATACGGAGAAATTGTGAATGTCAAAATCTGTAAAAGATATTGTTTAGCATTAAGGTTAGTGACGTTGTTATAAAGATACAATTCTTGGAATCACAACAAAAGTTAAGATCGTTAAGACGACGGACGTTCTGTACTCCAAGTTGTCATTAAATATCTGTCTAAGCAGTCCAGTTGACTTTGATTATCCGTGTATTTACATCATGCTGGTAAATAAGTTTTATCGTAAGCGGTGTATTTTTTTTTCAAATTGTCGTATTCGTGAATTTGTGCTTTTTTGTGTTCGAAATGGCATGGCTAGAAAATCCAATAACGTCTAATCATAGCGAATTTGACATAGTTCAATGTCCTCAGTGTTATAATGAAAACGATAAACATAGTAATGTGGAGATCCAAGGTATACCAGACAAGGATGGCAAATACCTAGTAGTTGACGTGGGTTCGTTAAGAAATTTGCTTCAGATTCCTAACCCACGAGTTGACATTGATTCGGTGTTCAAGGTGTTCCGGGTTAAACAGCCGCTTTCCTTAAGACGATAATAGCGTATCGTGATATGATTAAAAGATTTTCTGGTTTTGAAATTTTAAACGTTTCGCTTAAGGTTGGAAATTTTTCGATGCACTATTATCTACAGTGTGTCCCGGATAGGTGAAACGACTCTTATAAAAGGTAATTTTTTTTTGATATTAATTGTCATTTTTTGAGGTAGGTAAAGTACCTTTTCTGTTTATAGCACGTGAAAGTGTTACTAAGAAGTTTTGTTCAGAATGAAAAATTATGGTCATATGCAAATTTTCGGAATGATCGGCCTAGTTTAAAAAAAATCCATATCAAACAATTTTATTTCTAACAAAGACTGCCATGGAAAAACAAAATTGCTTTCTTATCAATGTTAATCTGTCAAACTGTAATTTATTAAACTTAAAGTGCTTTTTAAATACAATGTTAACATTAGAGGAAAAAGTTTACGTGATTCAGTGTTATGAAACCGGGGAAAGACCGATAAATATGGTTTTTAGTGAAAAATTTCCAAATACTGGAATTAAAAGAAGTACTTGTTGGCGTTTAATCAACAGATTTCTTACAGCAGGAAGTATTCACTCTAAAAAAAAAAATATGATGAAACTAAGTGAACTATGATTAACTGTTTTCTTTTGTGGGCGAATACACACTTAATTTTTTGGGAACGTTTTAAGAACGTTTTGTTTATTTCCCCCGAACAATCTGAATTTCAAAACAAAAAATGGTAATAAAGACCTATTGACGGTTTTATCAAAGTAGGCCAATGATTCTGAAAATTTGCATATGGCCATTTCATTCCCTTTTCATTCTAAACAATATTTCTTGGTAACATTTTACCATACTGTAAACAGAAATAGTATATTATTCAACAAGCGCATAATGACGGCTGTTACCCACAAAGATGAAGTTAATCTGTGTAATCTGAGTGGGTAACATCCATTATACGCAAGTTGAATACTATACTTTATCTACAACTATTTAATTTTGAAAAAAAAGTCAAAAAAAAGAAAAAAAATAAACTTGATACATTTCAGACATAACCTCAATATAAGAAAGCTGTCATTTATGTTAATGTTTTATTTTTTATTAGTAGGCCGTGTCAGAACCGTGGAATAATGACTTCATTATTCAACACTTTGTCAGTCATGGGCAGTGATGGGCACTCGGTAAATACCCGGCGGGTAGGTATTTCTAAAATGGGTATTTATCCGGGTATTTACCCCGNTAAGATAAATTGGGTTAAATCGTAATAATTATATGTAAGGAATTCACTGTTGCTCTGTGTCCCATTAGTAACGGACCATCCTGTATATATAAGGACGATAGCGGTTTTGTAGATATCTTCTTATGCTACTGGTATCTGATGATACGCCAGAACAAGATCGATTTTTGAAAAAAATTGTGCAATCATAAAGATTCAAATTGAAGTCTTATAAATGAAGTAATGGCTATCTGTGTGGTACTGTTACTAAATTTAACTGACTGATCAATTTTATAAAAGAAAAATACTATAAAATAAGATTTACTTCATTTTAAAACAAAAAATATAAGAATCAGATCTAATTTAAGACAACCTATAACAAATTCTTTTTAATAGCTATAAAACTTACCTCCACTACTATTCTCATCATAACTAAAATGATCTGAACTGCTGTAATTTTCCGCATAAATATCATGATATTTATGCGAATATCGCTTTTTATAACGTTCCGCCCACTTCATGTTTCCTTCTTTGGTTATAGGTTCTTCTAGGGCTTCTTCATATTCTTCGTCATCGGAATCAGTATCACTTAACAAAAAAAAATATTTATTTATTTATTTATAATTTATGGGTACAGAAACAGGACAAACCCAAATGATCGTNCAGATTCCTAACCCACGAGTTGACATTGATTCGGTGTTCAAGGTGTTCCGGGTTAAACAGCCGCTTTCCTTAAGACGATAATAGCGTATCGTGATTAAAAGATTTTCTGGTTTTGAAATTTTAAACGTTTTGCTTAAGGTTGGAAATTTTTCGATGCACTATTATCTACAGTGTGTCCCCGGATAGGTGAAACGACTCTTATAAAAGGTAAATTTTTTTGATATTAATTGTCTTTTTTTGAGGTTTAGCCCTGCTTGATTAAAAACTAATTTTGAACATATTATCAATTTTTAAAAAACAAGTGAGCCTTGACAGTGAAAGAAAAACTCTTTTTGTGGCAAGTAAAGTACCTTTTCTGTTTATAGCACGTGAAAGTGTTACTAAGAAGTTTTGTTCAGAATGAAAAATTATGGCCATATGGAAGTTTTCGGAATGATCGGCCTATTTTAAAAAAATCCATTCAAAGAATTTTATTTCTAACAAAGACTGCCATGGAAAAACAAAATTGTTTTCTTGTCAATGTTAATCTGTTAAACTGTAATTTAGTAAACTTAAAGTGCTTTTTAAATGCAATGTTAACATTACAGGAAAATATTTACGTGATTCAGGTTCATTACTATCATCTTTTAGTTAAATTTATCTTATAGATAAACCCATCTACTAGCCAATCAGAGCGCGTGAAATCGGTGAATCGGGGAAAAGCCGATAAATATGGTTATTGCTTTATTTAGTGAAAATTTTCCAAATACTGGAATTAAAAGAAGTACTTGTTGGCGTTTAATCAACAGATTTCTTACAGCAGGAAGTATTCACTCTAAAAAAAAAATTATGATGAAACTAAGTGAACTATGATTAACTGTTTTCTTTTGTGGGCGAATACACACTTAATTTTTTGGGAACGTTTTAAGAACGTTTTGTTTATTTCCCCCGAACAATCTGAATTTCAAAACAAAAAATGGTAATAAAGACCTATTGACGGTTTTATCAAAGTAGGCCAATGATTCTGAAAATTTGCATATGGCCATTTCATTCCCTTTTCATTCTAAACAATATTTCTTGGTAACATTTTACCATACTGTAAACAGAAATAGTATATTATTCAACAAGCGCATAATGACGGCTGTTACCCACAAAGATGAAGTTAATCTGTGTAATCTGAGTGGGTAACATCCATTATACGCAAGTTGAATACTATACTTTATCTACAACTATTTAATTTTGAAAAAAAAGTCAAAAAAAAGAAAAAAAATAAACTTGATACATTTCAGACATAACCTCAATATAAGAAAGCTGTCATTTATGTTAATGTTTTATTTTTTATTAGTAGGCCGTGTCAGAACCGTGGAATAATGACTTCATTATTCAACACTTTGTCAGTCATGGGCAGTGATGGGCACTCGGTAAATACCCGGCGGGTAGGTATTTCTAAAATGGGTATTTATCCGGGCATTTACCCCGGTGCAGGGTAAATACCCAAATAGGGCGTATAAAAGTGATACCAGTAAAAATATATCAGATTCAAAAAAAAAAGTGAAGAGGTAGTTGATGAAATGGACGGTGAAGACGAGGAATTGTCAACAATCAAAGACGTATTATCATCAGACGAATCTGTCATAATTTAAATTAGATCAAGTTATTATGATTATTATCATCAGGTAACTCTCTGCATCCATTGTTGGACATAGACCTCCCCTATTCTGTTCCTTTCGATTCTATTCTGTGCAGTCTGAATCCAATTGTTGGGTTGACGTCTACTTCGTCTGTTCGCTTGCGGTCTCAAGCAACCGTATTGTTGACTGCTCATTCTTCATTTGCGCGACATGACCCGCCCAGTTCCACTTTAGCTTTGCTACAATGTTGACCACATCATTTACGTCAGTTCTTCTTTATAGGTCTTCATTTCGTATGTAGTCCCTCAGAGTTACACCCACGATCGCTACCGTTAATGTTAAAGTTTCGGAGCCTTATGTCATAACCGGAAACACGCATTGATTGAAAGCCTTTCTTGGCCTTTTCTCTTGAAGATGTCTCTAAGTTTCCCGTAGGCTGCCCATACGAGTGTGATCCTTCTGTTTAGTTCGCTTGTTTGATTATCTCTCGATACACGAACCTCATAGCCAAGATATACATAGCTGTCAACCCTCTCAATCTCATTATCCCCAATGTTGATGTTAGAGCTGGGAACAAGATTTGCCATAAATTTTGATTTCTCCTCGTTGATATTTAGCCCGACTCTTGCACACAACTCCTTTAAATCGTTCAGCATTACTTTAATCTCTCCAAGGCTATCCGAAATAAGAACCATATTGACCGCGTAGCGCAAATTACTAAAGCATTGCCATCAATGTTTATGCCTTTTTGGGTCCAATCCAGTTGTTTAAATGCACTCTCCAGGACTGTTTTACTCACAATCAGTACTACTTCCTATTCTCTTCAGAACTTTCATGCAATTTTACAGTCATTGTAGCTTTGTTGTAGATATTATAAATAAGTTTGATATATCGATAATCGACTCTGCATTCTTGAAGTGCTTGCAAAACTGCCATCAACTCAATTTAAATTAAATTTTATAAATACCTCTAAATACTCATCTTGGGTAAATACCCCCGGGTATATATCCAGGAAATTTACCCTTGGAAATAAATACCCGGGTATTTAACAACACTGGTCATGGGTAATGTGTGTCATTACCCGTCAAAAATCAAATGTATAACGAATAGATAATTCAATAGTTGTAGATAAAGGTACTTTACACAACACACAAGAAGTTTTAGCTTCAGTGTCGACACTCACTTTTTTTTTTAAGCTTGAAAATATGTTCAAAATTAGTCTTTAACCAAGCGAGGCTGAACCCCAAAAGATGACAATATCGAAAAAATTATACATTTTATAAGAGTTGTTTCACCTATCCGGGGACACACTGTATATAAATATATTTCCATAGAAACCAGGGCAACATGTCTGAATGTTTCTAGTTCTTGGTCTAACATAAGATAACACTAGACCTAGAACTCAAAGTATACGTCTTCAGACGCATGGCTAAACCCGAATAGTTCTAGTTTTACACTAGCACTATCACTAGAACTAACACAAGACCTAGAACTAGAATCATTCGAGTTTAGCCGTCTTGAGACACGTGCGGCTAAATCCGATTGTTTCTAGTTTTAGGTTTAATGTTAGTTCTAGTGACAGTGATAGGTAGCGTTAGTTAGCATAAGATATCACTATGTTGTGTATTTTTATTGAAGTAAAACTAGAACTAACACAAGACTTAGAACTAGAATAATTCGGGTTTAGCAGTCTTGAAAGACGTGCGGCTAAGCCCGAATGTTTCTAGTTTTAGATCTAATGTTAGTTCTAGAGATAGTGGTAAGTAGCGCTAGTTAGCATAAGATATCACTATGTTGTATATTTTTATTGAACTAAAACTAGAACTAACACTAGACCTAGAACTAGAAAAATTCGGGTTTAGCCGTCTTGAGAGACGTACAGCTAAATCCGAATGTTTCTAGGTCTAGTGTTAGTTCTAGTTTTACACTAACACTATCACTAGAACTAACACAAGAGCTAGAACTAGAATCATTCGGGTTTAACCGTCTTCAGAGACATGCGGCTAAATCCGATTATTTATATACGATATATTGCGAGTTATATGAAATTATATGAAAGCTAAGATTAATTAGACAGATTAAAGTTCTCCTTCCATTTTGTCACTTCTTATAAATCATAACAAGGTCTGTATAATTTAACAAAATTATCAAGAAAAAGAGATTGAATAAAAATTTAAAGACTAAAATTAAGGCAATAATCTCCAAATTTTATGATATAATTTTAATTTTGCAATTTACTTTTCAACTACGCTTCATTATAAAATATAATTTCTTTTTGTTAGTAACATGCAAGCCACACTTTTTTTTTACAAACGTAAACACACAGTAAAATCTCTTACTGGAACGTAAACAAATTGTTTCTCTAAGTTTTTAACACGATCTTCAAAGTTAGGTGCGGTTTGCCTGTACAAATAAATCGAATAATCCTCGAACGGTTCCGAATGGTCGGGTTTGCAATTCGACTGCAACATTTGCATGCTCTTTAAGAATTGTTCGGTTTGCATTCTTCGTTGTTGCCTGCGCTTGTTGTGGCGATCGACGCGATTGGCCACGATCTCTTCGTACCTCTTCTGGCGTTCTTCCTTTTGTTGTAAATCGAAACAAATTTTAACCAATTTTTTAACCGATTTAAATCAATTAATCGCCAGATAAAAAATATTAAAAAAAAATAAATAAGCGATGTAGCAAAACTGGTTTAGGTGAATTATATTAAGATCTATTATACAAAATAAATATACAAAATTATTCGGGTTTTCTCAATACTGACTCAATAGTGGAAGTTAAGACGTGTAAATAAAACTTTTCATTTCGTACTTGTCAAAGTTACATAAAAGGTCCAATAGAAATAGAACGAACGCTTGTAAACCAGTTTCCCACACGACTACGACAAAAGCGGTGCAAAGCTGAAAGGAAAAATTTGGGATTAGGAACAAAAAGGTTTTTAGGATTGGTTTGGGTTAGTAAATGAATATAAAGTTAGATTCCGTAATGTTTAATAGCAAATAAAAAAAAATGTTGAATAAACAAAACAAAAAAATTTGCTAAAAATTATTTGTGCGAGTATTACAATAAAAAATTTATTGCACATTACATTTACTATTGGTAAAAATTGTTATGCTGTCACTCTCAAATAAAAAATAAATCATCCGATATAATTCCATAAGTAGAATATCACTTGGTGAAAGATGAGGTAGATATAATAAAGACTTACCACGCTGGCGCCTATTTTTTCCATCGTTTTTCGTTTTCTTGGTTTCCGATCGCCTTGGTTTAATAGCATCTTAGAAGCGAACGCATCCGTTGATCTCTTGTGTCTACTTGGGGGTCGATTTACATGTTCAGGATCGTGTAAGAAAACATCCGGAGTTACTCTTAACTTTATATCGTTTTCCGCACGTTTTGGATCGGGAAGATCCTAAAATAAATAAATTAATTAATTCAAAAACATTAACAGATTAAAATAAAATTCGTTTATTATCACCATTAAAATTTATGAATCAAAAAGGTGAGAATAAAAATGTAGTTAATAATTCATAGCAGTAAATGGGAAGAATACAAAGGAAAAATTGTAGGGCACATAAGGAAAATACACGTACGGTTTCTTCCGTTTCTAGAATCGTCTGGAACTTTTCGTTTTCCAATTTATCACGTAATCGACCTTCATACATTTCCCAAGGAGATATGTTCGATAATTTTGATGTTACAGGAGTCTCCTTAGTTTTTAATACTTCGATAAACTTAGAAACACTTTCAATGGAATCATATGAAGGATTCCTTGATACAATCGGTTTAGGACTCATTATCTCGACTTCATCTTTATTTACTTTATTATTTTTTACTAAATTATTTACATTACAAGGATCTTTCCAAATAGGTTCATCATATACGGGAAAACTTTTCATATCGCTCATATATTTCGATCGATGAATAACACTAATTTCTTTATCGTCCCGATTTTTATTATTATTAAAATAACCTCCTCGACCCACTTCCATTTCAACATCTGTACTCGTAGTTGTATCATTATATTCGCGTTGATCCGAATTGAAATTTGACGAAACCAACCAATCCTCGACTTTACACGCTCCGCTACTCTCAGATTTATCTCCCCTATACGTCATTCTATTACGCTTTAATTTACACTTTTCGAAAGATTGACTCTGTTGACATTTTGACGTCTTATTTGACGTTTCAACTAAGGATACCTGATTGTCTGTTGATTTAAATCGGGTTGAATAATCAGTAACTGAGGATGATATTAATCTTGGGACGAGTTTTATCGAGTTATCCAACGAGAAAACTTTTACTTCTTCAATGGAAATTGTTCCCAAGTTCCCTCGTTCGGTGTTTTTGATTATAATGACATCGCTACGATGTTCGTCCCGATTTTCGCGAGATCCCAAAAGAATTTTTGGGATTTCCGGTGGAATTATTTCTTGTTTGTGGCGAGATTTTTTTGGACGAAGAATTTGTACTCTAAGATTATTCATTTTTTCGTACGCTGCATTTTGTTCCGCTAAAAAATCATCCATTTCTTTAAGGAAATTTAATGCGACTTCAGAACTTCCCTCCATTGACGAGCGTGGTGTTTTTTCAGGGAGAGTATCCGTTGGTAGTGGAGTCAAACTGGTACTCTCAGAATATCCTTGAGAATTCTCAACGTCACTTTTAACGAGTGCCTCCTTAGAGATGCGGAGTTTATAAAAATTACGAGGATTCGATTTTTTAATCGACACCTTTTTACTTTGTGTGGGTGTACTACATAATCGAACGCTTTTCTTTTTTGAAACCGTTTTGGGACTTGATTTTATGCTTGGTTTTAACGGTTTTATAATTTTTATTCTTGGTGGATCCCCGGAATTTTCAACGCTTTGTTTAGATCTTAAAATATTGTTTTTTGGGGTGCTATTTTGGGCGATATTTCTGGAAATCAATCTTTGCATACATTTAGGACATCTTTTACGTCTTATTAATAACAAAGATTTTAATGTATGCACTGGTTCGCGTTTCTCAACAACCGGCGAATTCAAATTACTACTTTTTGACTTCCTCAACAAACCTCGATTTTTTGAAATCGACGAAATTTGCGTCTCCGATTTTACACTCGATTCCAATTGATTCTTTATGGTTTTATTTGGGGTAACATTTAGTTTTAAAACTTCTTTGGTTTTGTCATTTTGATCTTTAACGTTTTGTATTGATCTTTTTGGTATTTGTGACACTGATATAATGGGAGATGAGCTAGCGGTGGAAACGCGATGAGAAGTTGAAAATTCTTCGCTAACTTTAGCTGAAGATTGAGGTGTAATAAGAATAGGACGTAAAGGAAATTTGTTATAAGGTACCATGCAAGTGGAAGAACGTGGGAGGGAAAAAGCTTGATCCTCAAATTTAAAAAAAAATTAAAATTGATTTATTTAAACATTAAGTACTTACCAATTTTGGATGCTTAATGTGTGGAATTTCACAGCGGAAAGTGTCATAAATTTGCGTTAAATATGATAATTGCGTTAAGAAATCAGGAGTGTCGATTTGGGCCATTTCAGTTCCAGACATAACCGGGGGGATACCTAGAAACATCCCAAATTTAAATTATTTATTTAAATAAACACAAAATCTTACCTAATTCCTTCTCTAATATATCAAAAGCTATCTGATTGTTCTTCGCGGGTTCATTAGGATTAATCGCCCCGTAATCAAGAAGATCCGGCCGATAATGATGGATTATTGCACATAAAACTCTCCCATCTTTAAATGATGTTGTTATATTCGATATGGTTACGCTTTCGTAATCTTTAATTTGATCTTGTATCCAACCAAGAAGTGTGTCAGGATCCACATGGGAATCTATTAAAAAATTAAATATTTAAAAATCATTTTGATTTAAGTATAACTCAGATACTATACACAAAATTCACCTTCATCAACTTTTAATTCTTCAAATAACATCTTTTCTTTAAGAAGAAAATTATCTTTCAATCTATACTATTACAATTTCAAAAGAAAAGAGAAGTCAGCAACGCATTTGACACAAACAATTTTGATTTGATTTGAGTGCTAAGTTAAGTCGATTAAAATATTTTTTTATCAACTTTTATTTTGTTACTTTCACTTATGTACAGGGTGGTTCAAATTCGATGTCCGAATAGGCTAACTCGGAAACTATAAGAGTTAGAAAAAAAGTAGCTAACATGTCATGATCTCGTTTTTCGAGAAACTGCTAATACCGAAAACCTCATAGCGCTATCGTCTTTTGTTTTTCCCCTAGAGGCCAAAATTGAAAATATCGTAAAACCAGCAAGCGCAATTATCTTGGTTATTATT